ACTGCACTCTCGTCTGGGTGACAGAGTGAGACTCCAACTCAAAAAAAAAAAATGTATTGTACTAATACTTCTTTTCCTTGCTTTTTCAATGGACTTTTGCTCATTAAAAAAGTGATTGTTTCTTACTGTGTATGCCTCTGAGTGCTCAGTTTTCAGAGTTTTGGAATTTAGCACTTTGTTTAATATGATAAGTCATTCATATACCACACTGTGACAGTTAAGGATGATGTTAGTTAATTCACAAAAAAGATACACTTATATTTACAATGCCCCATGTCACTTTAAACCCTTTAAAGTGGTTTTGCTTGGTAACTGAGCAAGTTTAAATATGACTTGATTTTTTAAGTAGTTTTGTATCCCATTTGAAATTTTTCAGGTGGATTTTTGTAACTTAACAGTAACAACTTTGAAAATAGACAGATACTATTGTCTGTCTTTTGGTTTATTAAATGGTTAAATCTTAACCAAAATGCTGATATTGAGAGAGGAAATTACTTCACTTTGCCTTCTTACTTATTCCTTATATTTTTCATTGGGCAAGTTCAGTGATTGTTCTGGATTTCAGGAAAGTTCTGATCAGTACAAGAAGAACATCCAGCCAGGCTTAAGCAATATTTTATTTTTAATTTTTCAGTGATTGCCTTCATGTTGTAGACCCCATGCCTGTGCGGGGGCCTGACGTAGAAGCATACTGTCTACGCTGTGAATGCAAATATGAGGAAAGAAGCTCTGTCACAATCAAGGTAAAAATATACAGAGAGATAAAGATATCTGTTCTGCTTCTGGATAGTCTCTAGACAAGACAGAAGATTTTGGACCCTTGCCCCAAAAGGAATAATGGGCCTATTCTTTGCCTGCCTCACTGAGATATTTTGTGGATTAATTCAGATATGTTAGATAGATATGTGAAATGGCACAAAATTGCCCTATGTGTAATTAGCATATTCCAGAAAGTTATCCTAGCTTCTCTGTGGGCTATGTGCACTAAAGGCTAGTGAGAGAGCAGTGTGTTTAAGCCCTCCTCTCCCTGCCTTCCCAAACCTTTGAAAAATTTATATATACACATATATGTGTGTGTCTGTCCAAAGAGGTGCGTGTGTGTATATATATAGCTGCTACATATATATACACATACAAGTATATATTATATGAGTATATTTATATATAGCAGCTATTCTAGAAACATCAATTCTGGATTTTAAGATGTCTCTTCTTCATTTCCTGTAGGAAATGGAATATAGATGACTCTCATTACCATTTGGATCTCTGAGAGTTCAATTACTTTATTATAGTGGCTATGGTTCTTCCAATTTTTTTTTTTACATGACACTTCCCATTCCTTTCCCCCCAAAAAAAAGCCTTGTGGAAAATCTGAATTTGGGGTAGCCAGTTCTAATAGTCACAAAGATGTCTGCTGTGATTGACTCTGTGGGAGTGTTCCTGTTCCAACAGGGTGCTATACTGGAGAGAAATCCTCACTGGACTATTTTTTTTTAAGTGTACAATTTATGTACCCTAAAAATAACTCATTGTAAGTATTCGTTCTATAAATTTTAGTACATTTAAAACAACTTGTTGAAACAACTTCTAAAACATTCCTCTCAGCCGGGCGCAGTGGCTCAAGCCTGTAATCCCAGCACTTTGGGAGGCAGAGGCGAGAGGACTGCCTGAGCCCAGGGGTTCGAGACCAGTCTGAGCAACATGGTGAGACCTCATTCTACAATAAATCAAAAACTTAGCCGGGCATGGTGGTGCATACCTGTAGTCCTAGCTACTTGGAAGGCTGAGGCAGAAGGATCACCTGAGTCTGGCAAGTCAAGGCTGCGGTGGCCGGGAGCGGCCACTGCACTCCAGCCTCGGTGACAGAGTGAGACTCCAACTCAAAAAAACCCCAACTACATTCCTCTCACTCCAGAAGGATCCCTCATGCTATTTACAGTTAACTCCCATTCACAACCCCGGGCCCAGACAATCCCTCTTCTACTTTATGTCTCTACATGCCTAGACATTTCATATTCAGAGTCATGCAGTATGTGGCCTTCTGTGACTGATTTATTTCAGTTAATACAATGTTTTCGATGTCTATCCAAGTGATGGCGTGCACTTCATTCCTTTTTATTTCTGAGTAGTATTTCATTATATGACCATTCATCAGTGGCTGAACATGTGGATTACTCCTGGATTTCTGCTATTATTAATAATAGTGTCACAAATATCTACACACATATCTTTGGGTATATGTTTTCCTTTCTCTTGGATAAATTCCTTAAACTGGTAAGTTTATGTTTAACTTTTTAAGAGACTTCCACGTTGTTTCCCTAAGTGGTACCATTTGTCATTCCCATAAGCAGCACATGAAGGAGGGCTTACTTTCTCCACATCATTGACAGCCATTTTATTATAGTCATTCTGATGGGTGTGTCACACTGTACTTTTTGTTCATACGTGCACTAAGATCTCAAGAAAGTCGCCGACCCAGAAAGTACTTTGTCTATCTAAATTGATATAAGAGAGTATTCTGTTGAATTACTTTTGCTGTTGGGGCTTAAGTTGTTTTGGCAGCAGTACTGCTGAATCTAGGACACTGTGTTCAGCTGAAAAAAGGAAACTACCGTACTAGTAGTGGTGACAAGTGGTTAGCAGTAGCTGAAGGTGGAATTTTGAAGACTTGCAAAAAGATCCCAAAGATAGAATGCTTTCTTTCCTCTTCAGTAATACTTTGGTGAAGAGTTTAGTTTGTTTCTTATGTTGCTATCTGGTTTGTATAGAAATCCTCTGTGCTTAGCAGATACATCAGTCTGCTTTACTGTTGTCATACAAAATTCTGATTTCTTGTCTTGAACAGAGATGTAACTTATTTTCAATTTCCTTTAGGTTACCATCATAATTTATCTCTCCATTTTGGGCCTTCTGCTTCTGTACATGGTGTATCTTACTCTGGTTGAGCCCATACTGAAGAGGCGCCTCTTTGGACACTCACAGTTGATACAGAGTGATGATGATGTTGGGGTAAGTTCTCAGCCTGCCCTCGCTGCTCATGGCCATCTCTGTCAGCACCTGCTGTGAAGTGCAGATGAAAAACCATCACACACAGACATTCACCTGCTGAAGCATATCCTCAACTAGAGTAGCTAAAGATAGTTCTAACTTTCATATAGATCTCTTCATGGGGAAATCACTCTATAGAGCCATGGTGGTGGTGGTTTAAGCTGAAGATCCTTGGTAAGCTGCTTTGTAAGGCTTTGCCTTCAGAACCAGGGACATGATTTTCATTGCCTTTCCCCATTTATATTGAGAAAAGTGTCTGAGATTTCTTCCCAGGCTCCTGCCTGAAACACCTTTCCTGTCAGTGTCACCATGTATTTTAGAAGACAAAGAGGTTTTAGTGAAGGGAAATGTGAAGATTATGACATTCTTTTCTTAATGTAGTACAACGTGATAACTTGCTGATGTTTCATATTTCTTTTTTTTTTCTACTGCTTAAAAAAAACAATCTGTAGCTGGGCGCTATGGCTCACACCTATAATCCCAGCACTTTGGGAGGCTGAGGTGAGAGGATTGCCTGAGTCCATGGGTTCGAGACCAGCCCGGGCAACTTGGCGAGACCTCATCTCACAATAAATAAAAAAACTAGCTGGGCGTGGTGGCGCATGCCTGTAGTTCCAGCTACTTGGAAGGCTGAGGTGGAAGGATCGCCAGAGCCCAGTAGGTGAAGGCTGCAGTGGCCATGAGCATGCCACTGCACTCCAGCCTGTGGGACAGAATGAGACTCAAACTCAAAAAAAAAAAAAAATCTGTGATCTTTAACTCTAGAGAAAAATAAAACCATCACTCCATATTCTCTTCCTATCTTTAAAACACATTTTTATTTGTACATATAGTTGGCATAAACAGTGTATAAATTGTTTCATAGTCTCCTTTTTGCTTTAATTCAACTTTATTCAGAGTGTCCAGAAATTGACATAGTCCACAAACTTTTTATTCAGTATAGCTTAGATAATTATGTTTTTTGTTTTATCATTATCCTGTTTGGGGCTGTTTCTGAATTTTCCATTATTTCATTATTAGATTTAATTTTGTTTTTAGAAATGACTTTTTCTTTTGGATTATTTTATTGGACTATGTTCCTTAAAATAGATAAAATTCAGTACTTTATAGTTTTAAGAATCAATTGCAAAAGTCAAACTGAGAGTGAGCCCTTGCCAACCATAGCCAAAATTCCTTTCACTCTAGAATGGCTGTGGTCCTGTTAGTAAAAGACAGGAAAGGGCATCCTGACTGGATGCCCTGGGTTATAACTACAAACAAAGCCTACTTTTTGATCAATGTACTGTTGTCTCATGAACATCGATTACGAATTCTGAACTTACTTGGGCAAGATTTAATTTTTTTTTTTTTTTTTTTTGAGTTGGAGTCTCACTCTGTCGCCCAGACTGGAGTGCAGTGGCCGCTCCCAGCCACCGCAGCCTCGACCTACTGGGCTCCGGTGATCCTTCCTCCTCATCCTTCCAAGTAGCTGGAACAACAGGCGCACGCTACCACGCCCGGCTAAGTTTTTGATTTATTATAGAGATGAGGTCTCGCCAAGTTGCCCAGGCGGGTCTCGAACCCGCAGGCTCAGGCAATCCACTCACCTCAGCCTCCCAAAGCACGGGATTACAGGCTGAGCCACCGACCCCAGCTGATTTAATTTTTTTAGTCAGGAACTTTCCTAAAAACACCTCTGTTTGCCTCTTTCCCTTGATTCTTTTTATAATTCAACCAAAACATAATGAGTTAACTTTTCTATATCAGGTACTGTACTGGGTACTAGGAATAAAGATACAAATAAAATAGAAACAGACATGTAAAAGAAATGACTGGCCAGGCACAGTGGTTCACACCAGTAATCCCAGCACTTTGGGAGGCTGAGAAAGAGCAATCACATGAGGCTAGGAGTTCGAGACTAGCCTGGGAAATAGCAAGACCCCATCTCTACAAAAAATGTTTTTAAAAATTAGCCAGGCATGATGGCATATGCCTGTTTTCCTAGCTATTTGAGAGGCTGACGCAAGAGGATCACTTGAGCCCAAGAACTTGAGTTTACAGTGAGCCATGATCTCGCCATTGTACTCCAGCCTGGACAACAGAGCAAGACCATGTATCTTAAAAAAAAAAAAAAAAAAGAACAAAAGAAAGAAATGACTAAAAGTTTTCCCCTTTTATTTTTACTCAAGTAAGAAACATGTTTATTTTTAAAGAATTCTTAGAAGGGGATTGATAGGCTAGGAGAAAAAATAAGACTGTAGATCTAATGTGGTAAAAAATCAAGCAGGGTACGGTGGCTCACACATGTAATCCTAGCACTTTGGGAGGCTAGGGTGAGAGGATTGCTTGAGCCCAGTGTTTGAGACCAACGTGGGCAACTTGGTGAGACCTCGTCTCTACAATAAATCAAAGAATTAGCCAGGTGCAGTTCCAGCTATTTGGAAGGCTGAGGCAGAAGGATCGCCTGATCCTAGCAAGTTGAGGCTGTGGTGGCCGTGAGTGTGCCACTGCACGCCAGCCTGGGCAACAGAGTGAGATATGACTCAAAAAAAAAAAAAAGCAAAAACAACAAAAAAATCAGACATGTTGAGGCCAGTGGGTGAGAGAACTAGAAGGATAGGAGGTTGTGTCTCCTGTCCAGGAGCGTTAGAGTCTCAGTTACTGCTAACATTGCTAATTTTCATCCACATATTCAGGGTTTCTCAACCTTGACATTATAGACATTTGGGGTTGAATATTCTCTGTTCTAGGAGACTGTCCTGTTCGATGTAAGATATTTAGTAGCATCCCTTACCTCTCTCCACTGGATACCAGTAGCAGCCCCCCTCCATCTAAGTCATGAAAATAAAAAATGTCCACAGACATTGCCAAATGTCCCGGGGGGGGGGCAAAGTAGTAGTTCTCAACTACTGACATATGGAAATGTTGTGCCTCAAAGGCCACATAAACCATTTTCATTATGGACACATAGGTTGAAAGTCTGACTTAAACTACATCTTTTACAGCATTAAATATTTGATCTTGACTTAAGAAGTAGACAATATTATACACAAAACATAAAAGAAATGAGTGTACAGATGTACAGATGAAAACATGTAGGGTAGGCATTTTATTGGTGGGGTCACATGCTTAGTATCTTTTGCTCAGCAGTGATTGATTCTGCCTGCAGGTTGATCATTTGGGAATGTTGTCACTGACAGTCCTGGCTGACTCTTGGATATCTGTTAAACTGATTCTGGGGAGAGAGGCTGTCTGACCACAGCTGTGAGTTTATAGTAACAACTCTGTACAAAAAGAAGTTAAATTAAACTTCCTACAATTGGCCTGGTACAGTGGGTCATGCCTATAATCTCAGCAATTTGGGAGGCCGGGGCAGGAGGATTGCTTGAGGCAAGAATTCAATATCATCTAGGTGTCATAGCGAGACTCCATTTCTACAAAAAAACTTAAAAATTAACCAGTGTGGTGGCACTCGCTTGTAGTTCTAGCTGCTTGGTAGGCTGAGGCAGGAGAATCATGTGAGCCTAGGAGTTTAAGGCTGCAGTGAGCCATGATTGTGCCTGCATTCCAGCCTGGCCAACAGAGTGAGACCTTGTCTCTAAAAAATAAAAATAAATAAAAAATTAAAATAAATTCCTACAATTGTTGCTTATCCAAGATGTGGGTTTTTCACTGTTTCATGTACTTAAAAAAATACTTTTGTTAAATTCTCAGTTATCATTTTTTCCATTTTTGTTCAGTGTAGACATTTTAAATAAAATAAAAGTTAGTACAAATAGTTAAGAAGCTCACGCAAATACTGTATTATATATACATGACACATCATCACTATTATCAAAGCATTACATTAAAACATGTTTTGTATTTATTTTAACTTTATCAGGTGTAAAAAGAACAAATATATAAGAAGGGTAAATCTCTCTTTGTCTTCTCCCAGCATCCATGACCATGAGTAGCTAGTTCAATCTTGTTCTGATGGGTGGAGAACAGGCCAAAAGGATTAACTGGCTTGTTTAGTCTTTTGAATTTGTTCCTTAAGAAGACTTTTCTCCCCCACCTTGAAGGGTAGAATACAGGACTATGAAACTGAGAGGCGCCCTACTGATAAAGTACATCTTTCTTCCCTGTATTGTTTGTGTCATAACAAACCAATGGTGGTAATATTTTTCCCTCTCTGGTGTTTGACTCAGAGGATAATATTTTATATACAAGTTTAATGAAGCACCATACTCCTATAGTGTCATTTTAATCTGCCTGACCAAAATTTGTGTTTTGAGAAGATTTAACACTAAGTCAAGGTTAAGCAAGCTGAGTTTTAGTGTTTGCACTAATTTGTTAAATTATGTTGGGTCAGATTATTTCCTTAAGGGAAATCAAGTAATCCTACAAAACTTTAGCCTTCTTCCTTTTTTTTTCTGAGTTGGGGGTCTCTGTCACCCAGGCTGGTGTGCAGTGGCACCACCACGGTTTATCGTAGCCTCAACCTCCCAGGCTCAGGGGATCCTTCCACTTTAACCTCCCAAGTAACTGCGACTATAGGCACATGCCACCACACCCTGCTAATCTTTTATTTATTTTTTGTAGAAACGAGGTCTTGCTATGTTGCCTAGACTGGTCTCAAACTCCTGGGCTTAAGCAATCTTCTCGCTCTGGCCTCCCAAAGTGTTGAGATTACAGGCATGAGCCACTGCATTCAGCCAGCCTTTCTCTTTTTAAAGTGTTTTTTCTTACACCTTTGAAACATTTTGAGGCCAAGCACGGTGGCTCATGCCTGTAATCCAAGCACTTTGGGTGGCCGAGACAAGAGGATTGCCTGAGCCCAGGGGTTCAAGATCAGCCTGGGCAACTTGGCAAGACCTTGTCTCAAAATAAATCAAAAAATTAGCTGGGCGTGGTGGCACACTCCTTTAGTTCCAGCTACTTGGAAGACTGAGGCAGAAGGATCACCTGAACCCAGCAGGTCGAGGCTGCGGTGGTCATGAGCATGACACTGCACTCTAGCCTGGGTGACAGAGTGAGACTCCTACTCCAAAAATGAATAAATAAAAACAAAAATAGGCCAGACATGGTGGCTCACACCTGCAATTTCGGCACTTTGGAAAGCTGTGGCAGGAAGATTGCTTAAGGCTAGCAATTTGAGACCTGCCTGGGCAACATAGGAAGACCCTGTCTCTATTTTTAAAAAGAAAGAGAGACAGAGAGAGAAAGAAAGAAGGGCTGGGGAGGGAGGGAGGAAGGAAGGAGGGAGAGCGGGAAGAAAGGAAGAAAGAATTGTAAAATAGCCTGTAGTACCAGCTCCTTGGGAGGCTGAGGCAGAAGGATCACCTGAGGCCAGGAATTTGAGGCTTCGGTGAGCTATGATCATGGCCTGTGAATAACCTGACCCATGGCCTGCACTCCTCCCTGGGCAACATAGCTAGGTCCCTGTTTCTTAAAAAATAAAAATTAAGTTAATATCTAGCCTGGGCAACATAGTGAGACCTTGTCTAAAAAAATTGTTTTTTAAATAAATTGGGTTTAGGGATTTGTACAAGCCATTGCCTTAATTAGGTAAAAAGTTTAGAGAATTTTGGTAAAGAAAGCAAGGAAAAATTCTTTATAGAAAACTCTTTGAAGTCTTTCAAATACAGACATTGTGTACATGTCTTGCTATGAAAACAAGGCAGGTGTTCTAATACCAGACAGTTACAGTTATATATATAGTTCTGTGGTTGTGTATAGCTTTCCATAGCATGCTGACTCCTGCCTTGGGTATACAGTAAAGCCTTTTCAAACATGCACAGCAAAACAATGTTTTTTCCTTCCTAGAGACAAAACTTAGTTTATGAGGTACAACCTGTGACATGGATCTTAGGCTGGAACATTTAGAAGATTTGCTAACATGGTATTCAGGAAAAAGAGATCAAGGAAAAGGCAAACAAAAGCAGTAAATTACTACTGAATGCTTCTTGTCATTTAGACAGCTGTGTTTATATATCTCATTCATAGATAGATCAGCATGGCAGTTTCCTATGTAATGACTACAAACATCCAGTTGCATTGGTTCACTTTGACCAGGATAGGTTGGTTTTCTACACAGACACCTGGGTAACCCTTCAGTAGCCTCTTTCCTAAGGCAGCAACTTACATGGAAGCCACTGGGTGCTCAGCAAAGCAATGAAAGATTCAAGTCTTTGTCAAATAGTGATTATAAAGTAAATAATTTCTTATCATCCTCGGTCATAGAGGGCAATTGTAGCATTGAACTGTGTCTCTTTTCATTGCAGATTGGGGAAAGGGGGAAATGAGAAAGCGTTTAGAAACTAGTCCATTTAGTCGAGGCATAGAGAGAGATTAAAACCAAACAAGACTCCGTCAACTCACCTTCCAGTGTGAATGTGGCCCCAAGTTGACAAGTAAACAATTTTAATATAATGGAACCAGGAAATTAAAAGGCAGATCTTTCCCCTGCCAGGGGTTAGCTGCATAGTATTGAATCAAGCAAGAAAAGACCCCACTTTCCATATCTGTTACATGGAGATATTAACATGAAAGTAGATTTTCTTTTTCTTACCAATCAGGGAAAACTTCTCTTTATCACAAATAACCAGTTTTTGGCTTGGACTTCACTTCTTAAGGGAAATATCTTTGGAAGTACTGATCTATGGGAACGTTTCACAAATATCCTTCATCACTTACGTTTCCTGAACCACCTGTTTTTTGTTTTTTGTTTTTTTAACTTGGAGCCTTACTCTGTCACCCAGGCTGGAATGCAGTGGAATACTCACGGCCACCACAGCCTCGACCTACTGGGCTCAGGTGATCCTTCCACCTCAGCCTTCCAAATAGGCGAAACTGCAGGCATGTGCCAGCACACCCGGCTAATTTTTTGATTTATTGTAGAGATGGGGTCTTGGCAATTTGCCCAGGCTGGTCTCGAACCTCTGGGCTCAGGCAATCCTCTTGCCTCTGCCTCCCAAAGTGCTAGGATTACGGGTATGTGCCATCGTGTCCAGCTTGAACCACCTGTTTCTATAGTTGAGATCATTCTGCTTCTGATAGTTGAGTGCCTGGGAGCGCTCAGCTGAATAGATGCTGTTTGAAAAGTTCACCTGTGCACATTCCTATAGTTCCAGCTGCTTGGAAGGCTGAGACGGAAGGGTCGCCGGAGCCCAGCAGGTTGAAGCTGGGGTGGCCGTGAGCATGACACTGCACTCCAGCCTGGGCGACAGAGTGAGACTCCAACTTGAAAAAAAAAAGAAAAGTTCACCTGCTTCTGTCTCTGTGGCAGTTTGGCTGCTGTTTTGTGTGTTTTACACTTACTATGCCATTTCTGATGGTCTCCTTTCCTGAACTTTTAGGATCACCAGCCTTTTGCAAACGCCCATGATGTGCTGGCCCGCTCCCGCAGCCGAGCCAACGTGCTGAACAAGGTAGAATATGCCCAGCAGCGCTGGAAGCTTCAAGTTCAAGAGCAGCGAAAATCTGTCTTTGACCGTCATGTTGTCCTCAGCTAATTGGAAATCACATTCAAGGTGACTGGAAAGAAACAAGGCAGACAACTGGAAATAATTGACTGAGTTTTCTTGGGTTTTGTTTTAATATCCTATTGATTTCACCAGCTGTTGCTGGAAGATTCAAAACTGGAAGCAAAAACATGCTTGGTGTTGTTTTCTTGTTTAATGTATTAATAGAAACATTTTTAAAAGCACACAACTCAAAGTCAGCCAATAAACCTTTTCCTATTTGTGACTTTTACTAATAAAAATAAATCTGCCTGTAAATTATCTTGAAGTCCTTTACCTGGAACAGGCACTCTCTTTTTCACCACACAGTTTTAACTTGATTTTCAAGATAATTTTCAGGGTTTTTTGTTTTCCTGGTGGGTGCGGGGAGGGATGCCTGGGAAGTGCTTACCAACTTTTTTCAAGTCACTTTACTAAACAAACTTTTGTAAATAGACCTTACCCTCTATTTTCAAGTTTCATTTACATTTTGCAGTGTGCCAGCCTCACCCGAGTGCTGACTTGCCCATTTGACTTCTGCACTGACCCTGTTATCTGTGGTATCTGGTTGGCTTGGGGCTGCACTTGATGATAAACTGGATCTGAAATGCCTGGAGGCACTTCACAGAATGCATATTTTCTTCATGTACTGATGTCTGATGCAATGCATCCTAGAACAAACTGGCCATTTGCTAGTTGACTCTAAAGACTAAACAAGTCTTGGTGTGTGTGGTCTTTCTCATCTTCTTCTAGTATCTTTAAGGACAAATCCTAAGGACTTGGACACTTGCAATAAAGAAACTTTCTTTTAAACCCAAGCCTCCCTGGATTGATAACATACACACATTTGTCAGTATTTCCGGTTGTGTTAAGAGGCAGCTGTTTCAGCTCTAGTGTGTGCAGCTTTGAATTAGGACTAGGGTTTAGGGTGCCTCTCTCTAAAAGGTGTAACAGTTATTGGATAACTGGATTTTTTCTTCCTATGTCCTCTTTGGAATGTAACAATAAAAATAATTTTTGAAACATCTATCAATATATATCTATGTCTCCTCGCTTTTTTCTTGTCCCTCTTTTGCTGTATGATAAGATTGAAGATACAAAGACGTGTTGTACCCTGTTGTGAGCCTACTTTTTTATACCAATCTAATAACACATTGGTACTGAGTTATCTGTGTGTACGTATGCAGAGAGAGAGAGAAAATGTATGGATCCTTAGGTCTCTGAAAGGCATCCAAATACTTAGATAAATTGAGAAATTTAAAATTCCTGGAAGAGAGCTTGTTTTAAGAAATTGGCAAGATGCGTATTAGAATTAAATTACATTTAAATTCATAAGATTGAAGTTTTAGGAGCTGTTAATAGGAGGTTAGTAAAAAAAGGAGTTTTTTCCCCCATGTGTTAACTAATTATACTTTTTAAAAAAATGTGGAGTATAAGATTGGGCATGGTGGCTCAGCCTGTAATCCCAGCACTTTGGGAGGCTGAGGTGAGAGGATTGCCTGAGCCCATGGGTTCGCAACCAGCCTGGGCAACTTGGGGAGACCTTGTCTCTACAATAAATCACAAAAACTAGCCAGGCGGGGTGGTGTGCATCTGTAGTTCTAACTACTTGGAAGGTTGAGGTGGAAGGGTCACCTAAGCCCAGCAGTTTGAGGCTGCCGTGGCTATGAGTGTACCACTGTACTCCAGCCTAGACCACAAGAGTGAGACTCCAACTCAAAAAATAAATGTGGGGTACAGTTCAGAGTTAGGTATACAAATGGTCATTATGCAGGTACCCTTGTTGATGAAGTGCCCCCTCCCTCCCCTGGTAGTTTCCCACTACTGCCAATCCCTTTCTTACAGTATTATGATAATTGTTCAAGGTCTGCTTATGAGTGAGAACATGTGGTACTCAGTTCTTTGCTTCTGTGATAGATCACTTGGTACTATTGACTCTAAGTCCATCCAAGTTGCTGTGAATTTCATAATTTTCTCTTTCTTTATGGCTGCGTAGTATTCTATCGTATACATGTACCACATATTTTTTTATCCAGTCCTCTTTCGATGGGCAGCATGGTTGGTTCCATGCTTTTGCTATTGTGAATAATGCTGCAACAAACATGTGTGCAGGTATCTTTTTCATAGAACGATTTGAGTTCCTTTGGGTATATTCCCAGAAGGGATTGCGGGGTCATATGGAAGGTCGATTTTTAGATCAAAAAGCAGTTTTTTTAACACCCACACATCTAACCTAAAATTATTGATTTTTATTGTGCATATTAAAATATTTCAGGCAACCCCTTTGGGTCCTCTCCCACTATGGGAGCTTTTCTGTCCTCTCAGTAAATCCTGCTTTCTAAAAAAATAGTAATAACAAAATAAAATATTTCAGTTTAACCATGACCAAGTGGGATTTATCATGGTATGCAAGTCTGGTTCAATGTTCAAAAATAATGTCAGTGGCTCACACCTGTAATCCCAGCACTTTGGGAGGCTGAGCTGAGAGGACTGTCTGAGCCCAGAGGTTTGAGACCAGCCTGGGCAACTTGGCGAGACCCTGTCTCTACAATTAAAAAAAAAAAAATTAGCTGGGCATGGTGACACGTGCCTGTAGTTCCAGCTACTTGGAAGGCTGAGGCAGAAGGCTCAACTGGGCAACAGAGTGAGACTATGACTCAAAAAAAAAAACCCCTCTGATTTCTAGGGGTTAGGGAGGAAGAAGGATGAAAAAGCAGAGCACAAGATGTGTGGGGCAGCAAAACCATTTTGTACATTTTCTACAGTGGTGAATACATGTCTTTACATATTTGTCAAAACCCATAGAAAGTAAATATGCTCCAAAAGTGAACTCTGACGTGAACTATGAACTTGGGGTGATGATGTGTGTATGTGGATTCATCAGTTCTAACAAAGGTACAACTAGGATGTGGAACATCAATGGTGAAGGCAGTGCGAGTGTGGGTGCAGAGTACATGGGAATGCTCTATCCTGTTTGCTATGAACCTAAAACCACGTCAAGAAATAAAGTCTAAGAAAAATAAATAAAATGGCTATTTTTTAAAAAAAGATGTTGTTGGGCTGGGTGCGGTGGCCCATGCCTATAATCCCAGCACTTTGGGAGGCTGAGGTGAGAGGTTTTCCTGAGCCCACAAGTTCAAGACCAGCCTGGCCAATTTGGTGAGACCTCGTCTCTACAATAAATCAAAGAAATGTAGCCAGGCATGGTGGTGCATGCCTGTAGTTCCAGCTACTTGAAAGGCTGAAGCAGAAGGATTGCCTGAGCCCAGCAGTTCGAGGCTCTGGTGGCCATGAGCGTACCACTGCACTCCAGCTTGGGTGACAGAGTGAGACTCCAACTCAAAAAAAAAAAAAAAAAAGATGTTATTGGATGTGCTGGTTCACACTTGTAATCCCAGCACTTTGAGAGACCAAGGTAGGGAGATCACTTGAGGCCAGGAGTTTAAGAACAGCCTGAGCAACATAGCGAGACCTTATCTCTACAAGACATTTAAAAAATCATCCAGGCATGGTAGTATACATCTGTAGTCCTAGTTACTCAGGAAGCTAAGGTGAGAGGATCACTTGAGCACAAGAGTTTGAGGTTGCGATGAGCTGTAATTACACCACTGTATTCCAGCCTGGGTGACAGCAAGACCTTGACTGCCTCTAACGAAAAAAAAAAACATTCCTAGTTCTAGCCTCAATTTCTATCCAAAAGAATATTGACCAGGCCGGGCTCGGTGGCTCAGCCTGTAATCCCAGCGCTTTGGGAGGCCAAGGTGAGTGAATTGCCTGAGCCCGCGGGTTCGAGATCCACCTGGGCAACTTGGTGAGACCTCATCTCTACAATAAATCAAAAATCAGCCGGGCGTGGTAGCGCAGGCCTGTAGTTCCAGCTACTTGGAAGGCTGAGGCGGAAGGATCGCCGGAGCCCAGCAGGTTGAGGCTGCGGTGGCCGGGAGCGGCCACTGCACTCCAGTCTGGGTGACAGAGTGAGACTCCGACTCAAAAAAAAAAAAAGAATATTGACCAATATTTGCACATCATGAAACTAAAAGACACTGTCCATAAATAATTTTGATATATTGTCCAGATGAATGGACAGGGTGTTCTTTAAACAAAAGAATTTGCTACAAGTATCCAGTTTTGTAAGCAAACCTCTGGTATTGTTCTATGTTGTCATATCTACATATTAGGTAGAAACAGCTAAACCAGAACTGAGCGGGTCTGTTTAACTGTAAGCTACTTTGCATATTGTTATTAAATAAAAACCTAAAATCAGGTTAAGTTTGACTCAGCCCGAAATACAGCATCTTGATGACAAAACTCAGGTAAGAGACTTCTCCAGAGTAGCCCATTGGGGAGAATAAGAACATGGTTAGGAAGCCCCTAGGCACAGCTGATAAATGCTATCTGGTTATTCCATTATCCTGAGCTACCAACTACTGCCTATGTAATGAAAGATCCAGATTTTGCTGGCAATTAAGTCATCTAGAGGAGTGGAAAGAGTTTTAGTTTGGAAGTCAGGACACCTAGGTTCTGGGCCCTGCCTGTTACTGACTTTGCAACCTTAGCAACTTGTCACAACCTGTAAGGGATTGGAGACAAGGATTTCTAAGCTTCCTCCCGTTCTAATATTCCCTAATTCAATTACATAGGAAGTCGGAGCCTTTTGTTTTTTACATGCTGGATATTTTCTGTATCTCTGAAAGTTGAAGCTTTTATGCTCCTTAGCGCATCCAGAATTTCTCAGGATTTTATCAGTAAAACCTCATCATTTATTGCCCAGAAGAGCTCTAAGACAGAAACCTGAGATTTTCCCAAGACAGGTGTGTTCACTACCTGTGCCTGTACCTGGAGTCATGGAGCCCAATACTAGCGAGCTGTGTGGTTTTCTTTTAAAAGCTTGCACTCAATTCCTGATACAGAGACCTGCTAATGTCCATCCATATCACCACAGCCCCTGGAGAAGGGCACGGCAAGGGTTTTGAGCGCTTCTGCACATTCCAGAGCACATTACTGAGTCCCCTTGTCTTCTATGCACTCCCTGCAGCCTATGCCCAAAGACGTGAATCCTATTTACTCCCTTTCTTCACAGTCACAGGTTTTACTTATATAGTATCAATGCAATCCTAAATCTTGTGATTTGCATAACTTTTGCAATGCATGTCTTAGGCCTTGTAAACTTCCTTTACTCTAAATGTCACTATCTAAATGGAAAATGAAGCTGTAACTTAAGTTCTGTGCAATGCTCTGCTGGGTCACGTGGCTAACATATAGGTCCCCAAAACTCTGGACTATAAAAGTGGACTGCAAGGCCTGAAGGGTGGGCAGAACCATTTTAGAAAGACCTTGAGTCTGCCTCTACTCCGTGGACTGGAACTCAGAAATTAGTTTCTTTCTACCAGTTCCCTCAGTATCAAGGGAGAGCGGTCGAGCGTTACTTGGACCATAACGTTCCTATAAGTGCATCCAGATTCCACAAGGCATTTTTTCTTGATTCTCTTCCTTGGAGTTTTTCATTCTCTCATTCTGTTACCTTATGGTTAAATGTTCTTTGAAAAAAAAAAGGTGATCACGTTTGAATGCTACTACAATGGATTGAGCTTTATTCATTTCTTCTGAAAATGCTCAACAGAAAAAGCTTCTCCTTGCCAGTGTCTCCAGAGACACTCTGCTCTCTTCCCAAGAATTATGCAAAGTATTGTTAAAACCCAGAAAGTGTTAATGACCTGTGGCATATACATACATATTACTCAGATTTCATCTGGGCCAAGATTTAAGATATTATTTAAATTATCTTTCAGAGGCCAGGTACGGTGGCTCACACCTATAATTCCCAGCACTTTGGGAGCCTGAGGTGAGAGGATTGCCTGAGCCCACGAGTTCGAGACCAGTCTGGGCAACTAGATGAGACTTTGTTTCTATAATAAATCAAAAAATTAGCCGAGCATAGTGGTGCGTGCCTGTAGTTCCAGCTACTTGGAAGGCTGAGGTGGAAGGATCGTCTAAGCCCAGCAGATCGAGGCTGTGGTAGCTGTGAGCATGCCGCTGCACTCCAGCCTGGGAGATAGAGTGAGACTCCAACTCAAAAAAAAAAAATTATCTTTCAGGATAAAATCACACCCAAAGTAATTATTTTGTGTGCTGGGCTTTGATACCATCTGCTGCACTTTTGTGGTAACCTGTTCCAGTTCATCAATGCTGGTTTGTTAGCGGTAGGCAAAAAGAAGGTTTTGCTGTTGTCAGAAACGTGATAACACAGGTTCCATGTCCAGGAGCCATCATTTGGCCGTTCTCCATGTGTGTTCTTTATCTCTTACCCTCTGGAATTCTTGCCTAGGGAATTTCCTAACTCATTTCTCACAGCAACTTTTTATTCTTGACAGAATCTTGGCTAGTTTTTAATCTTTCAGAGACTTTTGTTTTATGTTAGTTATTTTAGGTCATTTGGTCAGTAATTTGGAATCCTTCATTTCCTGTTCCTCTGTTTTGGTTTTTAATTGGACTTATCCCACTTATCTCATCCTTCCACCCTTTTAAGAAGAGCTTTTCCTGGCATTGACTCTTTTTCCAGCCAGTTTCACCATGACCTTTTTTAAGCTTTCCCACTCCCCACCACGTCCCCCTTCCCTTGCTGCCCTTTCTGTTTCCTTAGTAGTCACTTATCTTTTATTTCTTTCTTTTTTTTTTTTTTTTTTTGAGTCAAACTCTCACTCTTGTGGCTCAGACTGGAGTGCAGTGGCATGCTCACGGCTACCACATGCTCATGACCACCACAGCTTCGATCTGCTAGGCTTAGACAATCCTTCCGCCTCAGCCTTCCAAGTAGTTGAAGCTATAGGCATGTGCCACCATGCCCAGCTAATTTTTTGATTTGTTGTAGAGATGCTGTCTCGCCAAATTGCCCAGGCTGGTCTCGAACCTGTGGGCTCAGGCATTCCTATCACCTCAGCCTTCCAAAGTACTGGGATTATAGGCTTGAGCCACTGTGCCCAGCCGTGAATAGTTTTTATATTGACTGTTTAGGGGATAGGACAAGAAAAAGGGTCTGTACATGTTCAGTACAAACACAACCATCCTTTTGACTCTTTAAAAAATGTTTAATCCATAGTTGGTTGAATTCACGGATGCAGAACTCACGAATATGGAGGTCAACTATATATATTTTTTTTCGTTTAATCCTCACAAACACCTTGCAGAACAGTTAATATCTCATTTGGACACAGAAAAACACTGAAGTTAGCTGGGCGTGGTGGCTCATGCCTGCAATACTAGCACTTTGGGAGGCAGAGGCGAGAGGATTGCCTGAGTCCAGGGGTTTGAGACCGGCCTGGGCAACTTGGCGAGAGCTCGTCTCTACAATAAATCAGAAAATTAGCCAGGTGTGGTAAAGGATGCCTGTGGTTCCAGTTATTTGGAAGGCTGAGGTGGAAGGATCGTCTAAGCCCAGCAGGTCGATGCTGTGGTGGCCATGAGCATGCCACTGCACTCTAGCCTGGGCGACAGAGTGAGACTCTGACTGAAAAGAAAGAAAGAAAAAGAACAGAAAGATGCAGAAGTTCAGAGAGGTTGGAAACTTGCCCAGGGATACACAGTTAGGAAGGCAGAAAGCCAAGATTGAAACCTGAGGGTGTTATGACTAAAAGAAAAATGCTCTCTTCCTATAGCACTAAACTGCAATTCCCCGGTAAAGTATGTTGGGCTAGATCATTACAGTCAAAGGCAAAAAGTAATGGTGATTTAAAAAATGAGACATAGACTTGTTCACAAAGAGGGAATGTGTTGGTGTGGGGCCTCTGGGGTTATCATACTCTATCCTTGTGTCCCATGAAAAACAACAGCAACAACAAAACCTATGTATAAATGCACTTTACTCAATATATTTACAATCCTATGTAAGTAAAAATTGGTAAATTGACTACATTTTAAAGGTATTGGGGAGTTTCTCACTTAAAGGAATCTCAGAGTGAATATTTAAGAATATTTAAGAACAAAGGGTTCCTTTCTTTTTTTTAATCAGAGTCTCACTCTGTTGCCCAGGCTACAGTGCAATGGCACACTCATGGCCACCGCAACCTTGACCTGCTGGGTTCAGGCAGTCTTTCTGCCTCAGTCTTCCAAGTAGCTGGAACTATGGGTGCAAACCACCATGCCTGGCTAATTTTTTGATTTATCGTAGAGACGAGGTCTTGCCAAGTTGCCCAGGCTGGTCTTGAACCTCTGGACTCAGGCAATTCTCTCGCCTGCGGCTCCCAAAGTGCTGGGATTACAAACATGAGCCACCGCACAAGGTTCTTTTCTTCTTTTATTTTCAGTTTTGGCCCAGCATGTCAGGTATTAGTTAGGAAAGCTATGCCTGTGAGGCTGCATGATCAGGAACTAATTCGTAATTCCTCCAAAGTGTTTGAATACTGCAGTGAGTCAGTGTTTCCCAAACTTCAGTTACTTGCATACACTCTCGTGGTCATCACTATACCTGTATTCTACCTGTTCTGTTACTTACTTACTATTTTTCTTTTTTAATTTACTAAACCCCAGACTTTATTTAGGGTTTTGTTTTTGTTTTTTTTTTGAGTTGGAGTCTCACTCTGTCGCCCAGAATGGAGGGCAGTGGCATACTCATGGCCACCGCAGCCTTGACCTGCTGGGCTCTGACGATCCTTCCACCTCAGCCTTCCAAGTAGCTGGAACTACAGGTGCGCGCTACCACGCCCAGCAAGTTTTTTATTTATTGTAGAGATGAGGTCTTGCCAAGTTGCCCAGGCGGGTCTCGAACCCGCAGGCGCAGGCAATTCACTCACCTCGGCCTCCCAAAGCCTGGGATTACAGGCTGAGCCACTGAATCTGGCTATTTAGGTTTCATTAGTATTTCCACTACTGTTCTTTCTAACCTAGGACTCTATAGTCATCGAGTCATCATATCTTTTTGGCACCATGTGGTTCATGACTATTTCTCAGTCTTTTTTTTGTTGTTGAGTTGGAATCTCACTCTGTTGCCCAGGTTGGAGAGCAGTGGCATGCTCACGGCCACCGCAGCCTCACCCTGCTGGGCTCAGGTGATCCTTCTGCCTCAGCCTTCCAAGTAGCTGGAATTACTGGCACGTGTCACCACACCCAGCTAATTTTTTTTATTTACTGTAGAGATGAGGTCTCGCTATGTTGTCCAGGCTGATCTTGAACCTGTAGGCTCAGGTAATTCTCTCACCTCAGCCTCCTAAGCTGCTGAGGTTACAGGAGTGAGCCACCACACCCAGTGTTTCTCAGTCTTGTCTTGCTTTTTTCTTGCCTTGTCAGTTTTGATGGATATGCCAGGCATTTGCAGAATGTCTGTCCTTCATTTGGATTTGCCTGGTGACTGCAGTGGGGTTAACTATTTTTCTTTCTGTTCATTCACATTTTTTTACTCAGGTAGATTTACTTTTAAGAGGAACTTCATATCACCACTGTAAATGTGAAATCAGTCTAATTCACAACAAGGAGATATTAGTAGATATATCAATTTCTGGGCTGGGCGTGACGGCTCATGCCTATACTCCCAGCACTTTGGGAGGCTGAGGTAAAAGGATTGCCTGAGCCCATGGGTTCGAGATCAGCCTAGGCAACTTGGTGAGACCTCATCTCTACAATAAATGAAAAAATTAGCCTGTCGTGGTGACACATGCCTGTAATTCTAGCTATTTGAAAGGCTGAGGAGGAAGGATTGCCTAAGCCCAGCAGGTTGAGGCTGTGGTGGCCGTGAGCATGCCACTGCACTCCAGCCTGGGAGACAGAGTAAGATTCCAACTAAAAAAAAAAAAGACTGAGAAACGGTCATGAACCACATGGTGCCAGGATGATACGGTGACTCAATGACTATAGAGTCCTAGGTTAGAAAGAACAGTAGTGGAAATACTAATGAAACCTAAATAGCCGGTCTTGGTGGCTCAGCCTGTAATACTGCGCTTTGGGAGGCTGAGGTGAGTGAATTGCCTGAGCCTGCGGTTCGAGACCTGCCTAGGCAACTTGGTGAGACCTCACCTCTACAATAAATTTTTAAAAATTAGCTGGGCTTGGTAGCACATGCCTGTAGTTCCAGCTACTTGGAAGGCTGAGGCGAAAGGATTGCCGGAGTCCAGCAGGTCGAGGCTGCGGTGGCCATGAGTATGCCACTGCCCTCCAGTCTGGACAACAGAGTGAGACTCCAACTCAAAAAAAAAGAAGAAAAGAAATACTCATTTCTGGCTAGATACTACTGCTTGCTGAAGGCTTTGATCCGAGGAGTTTGGAGAGCAAGCAGTCTGGTGGTATGGAAGATACATTTTCCCCAGACTGAGACTATGTCTTATACTCACAAGGGCTAGAAGAGAATTTCAGGAGAAGAAACTCTGCACAAGTGATTCAAGGTGAGTCATGCTGTTTCAGATGTCACCAAAATGCCTCTCTTACCACATACAGAATATTATAACCCCATCCAGCTTTCCACATAGGTTCAGAAACTAGTCATCAAAGCAGAAACGTCTTTAAAACATTGATCTCCAGCTGGCGTGGTGGCTCAAATCTGTAATCCCAGCACTTTGGGAGGCCAAGGTGAGGGGACTGCCTGAGCCCAAGGGTTCAAGAACAACCTGGGCAACTTGGTGAGATCTCATCTCTACAATAAATCAAAAAAATTGGGGGAGGTTCAGGCAAGAGGATTGCCTGAGCCTGGGAGTTCGAGACCAGCCTGTGCAACTTGGTGAGACCTCGTATCTACAATAAATCAAAAAAATTAGCCAGGTGTGGTGGCACACATCTTAGTTATAGCTACCTGGAGGGCTGAAGCGGAAGGATTGCCTGAGCCTAGCAGGTCGAGGCTGCAGTGGCTGTGAGCATGCCACTGCACTCCAGCCTGGGTGACAGAGTGAGCCTCCAACTTAAAAAACAAAAACAAAAAAAACAAGCAAAAATCCACTGATCTCCAAGCAGGGAGATCCTATCTTCTCTTTTGATCTGGCCAAATTAATCAAGTTGGTTATGTTTCCAGGTTCAAGAGGAAATGATGGCTAACAGAAACAACTCTAATCTGCCAGACAAACTTCCGGTCTTCTCTGAGTCTACCCATTTGCCGCGGACCAGGTCCTTCTACCTGGACCCCATGGTCACTTTCCACCTGTACCCTGAGGCCCCGGTACCGCCCTCTTACTCTGAGGAGCTGCCACTGCTGCCTTTCTCCAGTGACTCCCTGATCACGGAAAGTTACGGTGACCCCTGCCCCTTCTCTTTCCCACTGCCTTACCCAAATTACAGAAGGTGCGAGTATTCCTATGGGCCAGCCTTTATCCGGAAGAGGAATGAGCGGGAGAGGCAGCGGGTCAAGTGTGTCAATGAAGGCTACGCCCAGCTCCGACATCATCTGCCAGAGGAGTATTTGGAGAAACGACTCAGCAAGGTGGAAACCCTGAAAGCTGCCATCAAGTACATCAACTACCTGCAGTCTCTGTTGTACCCCGATGGCGCTGAGTCCAAGAGTAACTCTGGAAAAGCTTCTTCCATAACGGCACCCACCAGCCGCCATGCTGATCCTATTTTCAGAATCGTTTGAGAAACGAAACAAGTGATTCCACAAAACAGGGTCTCTTACAGCATCATTCGATAGTTTTTCCTAAATGTGATTTCTGTGCGGGTAGAAAATCGCTCAAATGCTAACCACTGCTGGATGGTACATATTTGGGTTCAGATGCACTAAACATGACCTTTTGTAGAATAAGTAGAATCTTTGCTTGTTTCTTTCAAAACCCTAGGCAAATGGGAGTCCCTGGAGTTCTCTGTGCCTCTCCCTTGGCCTTTCTCCCTCGGCCAAGTTTCAGTGGTGAGTTTCTCTCCCAAAAAGCATGTCAATTGTGACCAACGACTGTTCAATGCTGATCGCACACTCCGCCAACGCTTCGTGCAAAGCAATCACAGTGAACCTCTCCTAATTTGTCCAAGTTTGGTGATCTATAATTATTTTTTGACTACTGCCTGGTTCAGAAGTAAAAGTATGGTGATTTTTATTTATTTGAGGTTGACAAGGAGTCATTGTAGGAAAGCACCTTGGGGCTAAAGCAGAAGTGGCTTATACAACCATTTGAAATTGTTTCAGATGCATCTTGTTCCTGGGCGCGGACTTGCATGGGTGTCTTGGGACAGGGTTCAGGAAGGTGGCTCTGGAATCACACAGCCTCAGTCTCAAGTTCAATGCTGCTACCTCCTCTCTATGTCCTGGTTCCTCTTCACAAAACAAGAACAGCAACAGTGCCTGCCACATAATAACTGTTATTTATCATTAATGTCATCACCTTGTTTTGTCCATTGCATCACCATTCTCTAGTCTAGAAGATTTGGAGTGGCTGGGCCTTTCCCTCACCCTGGGAAGGCTAGTCCTTGCCCCATGTTTGAAGTCTGCCTTTAAAATGTCTCTTATTTCTTCTACTCCCAGGTCCCGTCTGTCACCAAGCCTGGTCAAGACTTTCCCTACGCCGTCACACTCGTCTCTATGGTCATGCCTTTGTGAAGTCTTCCCCAGCTTCCCATTTCAGCCATTACTTATCCTTTTATTCTGTGTACATATTTCTCTTCAGAGCCTACCCTGCCGTCTTCAAACACTTCACACACCTATCTCTGTCTTCACAGTAGACACAAACTCCTTGAAGATTCTTCAGCCAGTCTTATTCATCTTATACTCCCAGTACCCAGCAAGAAGCCTGGAATCAGGGAGTGCTAATGCATACTAGTTATTATATCTTGCTGTTCCAATACTGTCATCTTATGTCAGGGTCATTGTTAGCAGCCTCTTCTCTGGCCTTCCAGACTCTGTTCTGCACTGGCTGCTCCTCTCTGACGCCCTTTCTTTTTTTTGAGTTGGAGTCTCACTCTGTCGCCCAGGCTGGAGTGCAGTGGCATGCTCACGGCCACCGCAGCCTCGACCTGCTTGGCTCAGGCAATCCTTCTGCCTCAGCCTTCCAAGTAGCTGGAACTACAGGCATGCGCCACCACGCCCAGCTAATTTTTTGATTTATTGTAGAGAAGAGGTTTCTCCAAGTTGCCCAGGCTGGTCTCAAACCCATGGACTCAGACAATCCTCTCACCTCAGCCTCTCGAAGTGCTGGGATTATAGGCGTGAGCCACTATGCTCGGCTGAAGCTCTTTCTTAAAGCATTTCATGCCACTGTGTTGCTTAAATCACTTGATGACTTCCTTTAGACTAGGATGTTGTTTAAATGGATGGGTTTGGTTTTCAAAACTCCCTTGTGTGAAATAAAGTAGGCAGCATCAGAAGCCATGTTTACTCATTTCTGCTTGTACCACCATTGCACAAAGGCCCAGACTCTGTGACTCTCGGGAAAGATTCCTTGAAGACAAAACAGGGTAGAACACATGGCCCTCCACATCTCTTGCCTGAGTCACTCTATTTCTTAAAAGATAAATGACCCTAGACCTTGCCTTTTCCTACATGTAAGATAACGTCTGGTGGAGTGAGTGACTGATTGTGCCTCTGTAATCTATAACCAGATGTCCTCTGACACCCAATCCTTGGTGTGATTCTGCCTTCCTGTAACTTCTGAGCAAGTTTGACTTTGCACATATTGAGTCTCCACAGCCTACCTGTAAGCAGTAGGCAGGAAAACTGCCCGAGCAGTCTGCCAGAACTGCTCCCAGGGTGTAGGCCTCAGTCCACAGTCCTCAGTAAGACTTCTGAATAAAACTTTCCTTAACAAGCTTTGTTTCTTTAGTCAGCACTAAAACTTATCCCCATCCCAAATATCCACACCTTGATTTTCCTAGGACACCCTTCTTCTCATTAAAGAAAATCCCAGTCTTGCAAATGCATCCTTCTCTCCTCTCTCTTGCTCCCTCCCTAAACTGGAATATTCTCGTTTCCTCTCTCCCACTGAGATCTGGCTGTCTTATTCAGGAGTCTTCCTCTCACTGCCAGAGACTTCATTGGTCTTTCTTAGCCTCCAGCTCTTAACTTTGTGCCAGATAACTCAGCCCTTCAGTGTACAGTTCTGGCAACAGTCATTCTCCTGATTACAAAGTTATGCTCTGTGACAACAGTCATTAGGGAAGATGCTGTGGGTTGCAAGTAAGAAAAAGCCAGCTATAAGTTGGCACAATCCAAGAAGGGAATGTACCAGATCACCAACTGAAGCATATAGCAGTAGGGCTGCCTTTAGGCAGGACTCAACACTGCCACCAATAACCTATTTTCAGTCCGGCTTGGTGGCTCACACCTGTAGTCCCAGCTACTCAGGATGCTGAGGTGGGAGGATCACTTGAGCCCAGGAGTACAAAGCTGTAGTAAGCTATGATCACACCACTGCACTCCAGCCTGGGTGACAGAGCAAGACCCTGTCTCAAAAAATAAAAGAACCTATCTTCTTGAGGTCTGTCTGCTCTGATGTTCTCTGGGAATAGCGTCAGTATCCCCAGAAGGCTGTCAGAACAGCATGCGTTCTTGTTTGTGCATAGAAAGAAGGAGAAAGGCCAAGTCCCAGGATTCTTAACAAAAGTCTCAAGATTCATTCTGATTGGAGGGCATGGGGGATGTGCCAACCCTGCGGCCTGGGCACAGAGTGGGATGCCTGACACATACATTCCACCCTGGAGCCGTGCCTTGGCCTCTCTGTCCACATGGATCTGCACACCGAAACAGAGCTGGGTGGATGGGGCAATGGACGCGGGGAGACACCCACAAACATGCCGGCTGATCTTTTCCGCATTCTCCCTGCACACAGTGCCAGGTGCATAACCAGTGCTCAGTGACTGTCAAATGCCCCTGTTAGCCTCCTCCCGGGGATGTTCCAGTAAGAGTGGAATCTGGACTTCTGTCCCTTTGGTCACCAGCATCCACTCCTTCCTCCAAGTGGCCATAACACCTCTGCTTCAGTAGAGTCCTGTCACACACAGACATGGTTATTTTGTTTTCAATGATGGACAAATTCTGTCTTGGAGTCCCTGGACCAGTCAGTGGCTCTCCACACTCCAGCCTCGTGTCTGTATAAGGTGGAGGCATGCCACCAGCCTTGAGCCTCCATAGGGGTCCGCTCCCTCCCTCACAGACTTCCCCTGGGATCCGTGAGGGCTACCCACCATCACAGACTCTCTGGCAGTGGGACAGCCTGAGCTTAGGAGAAGTAAGGCTACAGTGGCATTTTTCCTCCCCCTCTCCTCCCCCTCTTTTCGAATAAAAAGATGGAGAATATCCCCTTCCCTGTCCCTCGCCCCCATGCCTCCCGTCACTCTGCACATGCTCAGTGCACACCCAGCACAGCGTCCTGGCTCGCATCCACGGCAACCTGCTTGGCAACCAGGAGTCAGTTGGGCTGAGGCCCTGAGCCCCAACTGTCAGACAGAGCCAGAGAGTCAGGTGGAGGCCAGGAATTTGGGGCTGTGGGTAAGTCCTTTTGGGGTCAGAACTGTGGACTCGGGCAGGGGGGATGGCCCCCAACAGGGCTCTGGTGGGCTGGGGCTGTGGAGTTTGATCTTGGGCCCTGGGTGGCAGCTGTCACCTCCGAACAGGCCCATGGAAGTGACAGCCCTGAGATCTCAGCTCACCAGGGGCCAGAATTAGTCCTGTAGGTGACTGGGTTAGGAGGGGAGGTTGTGGTTTGTGTTGGGCATCCATTTGTCATCAGGGTATTTGTAAAGGGAAGGATGCTCTTGCCCTGAGGAGTCCCTGCCACTGGGGAGGAGGAAGGAGGGAAACACTAACATACATTGAGTGACTTCCTCTCCCAGGTGCTTTCCAGGCCGCGGGAACTGAGCACATGGGCTGAGAGAGCCCCCAGCCTGTAGGCTATGAGAAGATATGAGGCTGGGTTGCTCTAAAAATCACAGTTCTGGCCCTTTCAACCCCTTCCTATGCCCAGAGCTGAGGTCCCTGAGGCAGGTGGACCAAAGAGGAAACTCCCAAGCCTCTCTGGGAATAAATGGGGCCAGGCTTGGGTACAGCCGTCTGAGAGGCCCCTAACTTCCAGCCTCACCCAACCCAGGTACCTTCTGCTGGCTGTGGGTGACAGCTTAGGTAATGGTGGTGCTTGTTCTCAGGTGGTTCCTGTGAAGGCCATGGAATCTTCCACCGGGCCCAGGATGCCTTTGCCCAAATACTGCAGTGTGGCCACAAGCCTTCAGACCCTTGGCTGGGACCGTGCTGTTCCATGCTGGGACCTCTCCTTCGCCTGCCCCTTTGGCCTCCAAGCGCCCTGGCTCACCAGGCACAACCCCCTCACGAGGTACCTGTCTCTGTCCTCTGGGGGAAGCGAAGTGCTGTGCCCTTTTTTTTCTTGGTTCAACGGTTGGTGTGCCGTGAGGGAGAGAACTTGCTTCCTGGGAAGGCTGAAAGGGTTCTTTATACTTCGACCTGTGATTTGTATGGGGTACATTAACTCCACCTAAACTGTGCTCCTGGTGACCTCTGGGGTTGGCCTGGTTTTTGTCCCACCTCGTAGCAGTGTTGCAGATGTCACAGTTGGCTGAGTGAGAGAAGGAAGGCAGGGGTGCCCAGTTACCAAGTTTCTAGCTCATTGACCATCAACTGTGAGACTTCCTCCAGCACCATATAAGAGATTAGCATTTCTGCAACCAATAACAGGTGGGATCTCCAGGTTCCTCCTCAGGTTCCCTAAGTATCTCTCCTTGTTCGGGATTTTCCTGAATAGTGTCCCAGTCAGCTGTCTAAAGTGTGGATACAGGAAGGCAAAGGAGCTGGGTGCGGTGGCTCATGCCTGTAATCCCGGCACTTTGGAGGCCCAGGTGAAAGAAATGCCTGAGCCCAGGGGTTCAAGCCTAGCCTGGGCAATTTGGCAAGACCTCACCTCTACAATAAATTTAAAGAAATTAGCTGGATGTGGTGGTGCACATCTGTAGTTCCAGCTACTTGGAAGGTTGGAGGATTGCCTGAGCCCAACAGGTCAAGGCTGCGGTAGCCACTGCACTCCAGCCTGGGTGACAGAGTGAGATCCCAACTAAAAAAAAAAAAAAAAAAAAAAAAAATTGAGGGCAAAGGAATCTCAGCCCAACACACATATGAACTGTGTAAGTTCCAGAGACTCACATCCATGCTATTCAATTCAGTCTTAGGCTAGGGATACACCAGCTTGAATTGACTTTAATGGCTTTCTTTATTTACCTAAGTGGACCATCCGGTCCAGGGCCAGAGTTAAGCTTTTTTGCGTTTATCGCTTCTCAGCCTTTTGGCTGAGATCAAGTGTAGCATCTCTGCATTTAGCCCTGCCCATAAAGTAAACTGGCTACTTCAAAAACTCAAACTCTGACTCAACAACTCCCCTCCCCTCGGCCAGCCAGCCCCGCCCACATTTTCCAGAACCAGCTTCTCCTTTATCTGCCCCAGGGCCCCTTGTCAGCTCCCTTAACTGTCCCTGCTCAAATACTTCCTCATCCCTTCTGATCCCATAGCAACAAGTGGCCTTACAATTTGGCTCCTCTGGTGTGACCATTCCAGCCTCCAAGCCTCCTCCTGGAGTCCCATATACCACCTTGGGATTTACCTTCCTGATACACTTTTCCTGTCTATTGTCTAGTCTCAGAAAAAACATTAGTTAACTATAGTTAACTGTATCAAGGTTAATTACATTTGAGTCACCTTGCAACAATTCCCAACTAGCAAACAACGGTTCCCTTCGCTGTCCTCTTTCTGCCTCTCCCAAAAGTTTATCCGACCCGAAGCCAATAAATTGCTACCTTCCATGTGAATTTCTATTCCACATATCCTGAAGGCCGTGGTACACCTCAGAGCTGTGAAACATGTTTCTTGGTGTTTTTAGGGTTTGCTACTCTCCACCTTGGCTCTCCCTTGGCTCTTTTCCAGGTATGCCTCTCAGCACCCATGTCTCCTCATTGCTGATCCAGCCTGGCAGAGGCCTGGCTGGCTAGGAAGAGTTGGAGATGCTGCTGACACCAGAGTCCTGGCAAGAAGGGGACCAGATGGCTTTTATTACCGGGCTCAGATAAAGGCTGCTCCAGAGGCAAGTCCCTGCCCCTCAGCATCCCCCTGACAAGCTCCTCCAGGTGGCCCTGTCACACCTGGTATGCCTTAGCTGTGTGTGTCCCACAGTGTGGTTAACTGGCTAAGCACAGAGCTTCCATGGCTATGCCGTGGAAACGAATGTGTAATACCAGTGAGTGCACTCGTTTGTTAGGACTTCGTAACAAAGTGCCACAAACTGGGCGGCTTAAACAACAGAAACATATGGTCTCACTGTTCTGGAGGCTGGATGTCAGGAGGGCTGGTTCCTTCTGAGGGTTGTGAGGAAGAATCTGTTCCATGCCCCTCTCCCAGCTTCTGGTGGTTTCCTGGAAATCTCTGGTGTTCCTTGGCATATAGAAGCATCACCCTAGCCGGGCTCGGTGGCTCAGCCTGTAATCCCAACACTTTGGGAGGCTGGGGTGAGTGGATTGCCTGAACCCGCGGGTTCGAGACCCGCCTGGGCAACTTGGTGAGACCTCATCTCTACAATAAATCAAAAAATTAGCCGGGCGTGGTAGTGCGCGCCTGTAGTTACAGCTACTTGGAAGGCTGAGGCGGAAGGATTGCCGGAGCCCAGCAGGTCGAGGCTGCAGTGGCTGGGAACGGCCACTGCACTCCAGTCTGGGCGACAGAGTGAGACTCCAACTCAAAAAAAAAGAAGCATCACCCCGATCGCTGCCTTCAACTTCACATGGCTTTCTCCCTGAGTGTGTCTGTCCAAATATCCCCCTTTTGTAAGGACAGCAGTCCTACTGGATTAGGGACCTGCCATATTCAGTATGACCTCTTAGTTAATTATATCTGCAATGACCCTATTCCCAAATAAGGTCACGTTCTGAGATACTGGGGGCTGGGACTTCAACATATGAGCTTTGTAGGGAGGAAAGGGGGACACAATTCAACCCATAACAGAGAAGAAAATTTCCATTAAAAGTCCTTTGTTGGCCGGGTTCGGTGGCTCAGCCTGTAATCCCAGCACTTTGGGAGGCTGGGGCGAGTGGATTGCCTAAACCTGTGGATTTGAGACCAGCCCGGACACTTTGGCGGGACCTCGTTTCTACAATAAAATAAAAAAATTAGCAGAGCATGGTAGCTCGTGCCTGTAGTTCCAGCTACATGGAAGGCTGAGGTGGAAGGATCGCCGGAGCTCAGCAGGTCAATGCTGGGGTGGCTGTGAGTATGCCACTGCACTCCAGCCTGGGCGACAGAGACTCCAACTCAAAAAATAAAAATAAAAAAAGTCCTTTGTTCAGGCTGATGCAATGGCTCATGTCTGTTATCCTAGCACTTTGGGAGGCTGAGGAAAGAGGATTGCTCAAGGCCAGGAGTTTGAGACCAGCCTGGGGAACATAGAGACCCTGTCTCTACTTAAAAAAAAAAAAAAGCTGGGCTCGGTGGCTCAGCCTGTAATCCTACGCCTTTGGGAGGCTGAGGTGAGTGGATTGCCTGAGCCCATGGGTTCGAGACCTGCCTGGGCAGGCAAGACCTCATCTCTACAATAAAATAAAATAAAATAAATTAGCCGGGCGTGGTAGCGCACGCCTGTAATTCCGGCTACTCAGAAGGCTGAGGCGGAAGGATCGCCGGAGCCCAGCAGGTCGAGGCTGTGGTGGCCGGGAGCCGCCACTGCACTCTAGTCTGGGTGACAGAGTGAGACTCCAACTCAAAAAAAAAAAAAAAAAAAAAAAGCTGGGCATGGTGACACGCATCTGTAGTCCCAGTTACTTTGGGAAGCTGAGGCAGGAGAATTTAAGGTTAGGAGTTCACAGTTGCAATGAGTTATGATCACACCACTGCACTCCTTTCTGGGCAACTGAGCAAGATCCTGAAAAAGGTACTCTGTTTGGGAAAATCCAGTGTTGAATTATGGGTACCAGCCTAAGGGAAAGTGGGACAAAATGTGAATTTGCCCTTCCGGCCCTTGTGCTGATATTCAGAGGCATATTCCCAGCAGGCTAGGGCCAGGCCTAGGCTTGACTTCAGTGGCTACCCCTTTCTGTTCAGAGTCAGACTTTGTGAATGTGGATCTGTAGAGGGGAGACTAGTGTGAACTCACAGAAAATATGAATTTTAGAATTTCCAACCAAAAGTCACTTTGTCATGTTCAAGTAACTAATATGTGAATTCAAAATTAAATGTCAGCAGAGTTTGCTCAAATATAGGCTGCCTAGTGATTTGATAAAAATAATTTGTAACTAGACTTTATTTATCTTCCACACCATGCTGAATACTGGAAACAGCTCATACTTTGAATTGGTTTAAGACCTCTCCTGTCCTCTCTTGTACTATTTGCTTAGCTAAACCTTTCCTCAATTTTTTTTTTCTTTTTGAGTTGAGTTTCACTCTGTCGCCCAGACTGGAGTGCAGTGGCCGCTTCCAGACACCACAGCCTCGCCTGCTGGGCTCTGGCGAACCTTCCACAGGCGCGCACTACCACACCCAGCTAATTTTTTTTTTTTTAATTGTAGAGATGAGGTCTCGCCAAGTTGCCCAGGCGAGTCTTTTGAGTTGGAGCCTCACGCCATCGCCCAGTCTGGAGAGCAGTGGTACACTCATGGCCACCCCAGTGTCGACCTGCTGGGCTCCAGCGGTTCTTCCACCTCAGTCTTCCACGTAGCCAGAACAGGCGCGTGCTATCACACCCAACTAATTATTTTTAGTGTATTGTAGAGACGAGGGCTCGCCAAGTTGCCCGGGCTGGTCTCGAACCTGCAGGCTCAGGCAATCCACTCGCCTCAGCCTCCCAAAGTGCTGGGATTACAGGCTGAGCCACTGAGCCCGGCCAACCTTTCCTCATTTATGGGAAGGGCAGGGCTGAGGGCTGCTCTAGGGTTGTCCATGGGGGCCTCAAAGATGAAGAATAAACCACGCTGGTTTGTCCTGGTCACAGGAATAAGGGGTGTTGGGAGAGGGGAGTGTATCAGGGCAAGATCCAGAGAGGACGCAGGTCACTCCTGGGAATTGCAGGTCAAAGATTTGGTAGGAGGAAAGAAAAGCACAAGAGAATGGAAAGGGAAAGGCCAAAAGTGATCAGTGAGAGGCGCCTGTGGCGAGGAATAGAGGGAAGTGCTTCTGTGCTACATACAACCCGCCTATCTTGGCTGGGCCTGGCTCTGAGCAGCTCCTGTCCCTGTCCCTTCTCTAGATGGCTGTCACTGTGAGGAAGACCCTGGGCTTGCTTTGGGAGCATCATAGGGATCCTGGGCGCTCCAGCTTGTACTTTCTTTCTTTCTTTCTTTTTTTGTAGAGACAAGGTCTCACCATGTTGCCAGGACGGTCTCGAACCCCTGGGCTCAGGCAATCCTCTCGCCTCTGCCTCCCAAAGTGTGGGATTACAGGCATGAGCTATGGTGCCTGGCTTTCCATTTGTACTTGTGGCTGCCAGATCTTATTCTGTGTTCTTCCCCACAGCTGGAGAGACAGGGGGTTCTGCTTGTGGAATTTGAAGCCCCTTTTGTCACAGGCCCAAAGCTGCCGGTCCAGCAGCAGTGCATAGTCTTAGAAGAAGATGTCATTCAGCATTCAACATCTGTAGAATATTCACTGCAACCCGGGGACAAGGTGCTGGCGCCCTGGGAGCCAGACCAACAGCGGTATGGCCCTGGCACTGTTCTCCTGGGCTCGAACACAAGAGGCAACCGCCAGAGAGGTAAGGGAAGCTGATCAGACCCACCAGTCCCCAGAAGAAGCCAGGCTGGTGACCAGGCTGAAGGAGGCAGCAAAGGGTGCCTCTACAGCTTAGGGGGTTCAGAGGTATTATGAATCCTTACTGCCTCCCTTGCCTGCTGTTTAATTCTGAGGCAGCAACAGATATGCAAATCATATATTTCTGGTTATAACTTTTTTGTTGTTGTTATCAGGGAAAATGGCCTAAAACTGTGTGGGTTAGCTAAACCATGGGTTAGCCATTCACAATTCTCCTCTCACTAAGTCCTCCAGGGACTCTTCTGCAGGGCCAATCAGGACCATTGTAATTCAGAGAATAGTAGAAGGAGGCTTTCACTGAGGATGCATTTTGGTTTAGACATGAAAAATGGGCCCTTCCAGGTCATCTTGTAGGCCAGGAGGCAGAGAGGCTCATGCAAGTTCACCGGGAGGGGGCAATAAATGTCGCACAGGCAAGGGATGTTCCTAGCAGGCTTTCCAGGAAGAGGAGGGTGTGAAGAGCCAGGCAGATGGGGCGGAAGGGCTAGGCTAAGGCTCTGCCTTTGGGGATAGATCCCTCATCTCATGATTAAGAAGAGGTGATTATGACAAAATGCTGTCCTTTTCTGTTACGTAGCATCAAAGGAAGAAGAAATCACCATTCACTTCTGGAATGGCAAAACAGCTAAAGTGCCTCTAGGTGGGGTCTGGTGGGTGCCCCCCGCCATCTGGAAGAAGGCTGTGGAGAGGTTGTACAAGCCTTCGGCCAGGGAACACCCCAGGCCCCTCCTCTGGGCTCCTTGCTGCTTTCTGCCGGGCTCGGTCCCTGGATGCCTCACCAATGGACTTCCTCTGGGCACTCCATTCCTGTGCCCTCCCTGCTACCCCTGTACCTGCTGCCAGCTGCTGTGCCAGAGCTACCTCTGTGGCTGCCCCTTGGCTGGCCCCTCCTGGTGGCCTCTAGCCAGTACCTCAGAGGGCACAGTCAGAGAACATCCAGAATTGAAGCTGGAGCCCACAGCACAGCTTTTGCCCCTAGAGGGTCCTAGAGAGAAGGAAGTAGCAAAGCATGCCCCCACGGCTGTTTCCTCTTCCTCCTCTTCATCTTCTGAAGATTTGGAGAAGGGTCTGGAGATGGGCTCTCCCCAGAGACCGATGGTGAACAGCGCAGTCAACACAGACCCCCTCGTTCTTGAGGAGTCTGCAAGGCAGCGTGGCCTCCACCAGCCTGTGTGGAGGTACTGGAGGACAAATGGACCTGAGCCGCAACCAGGGATGCCAGGTATACCAAGGATGTGGGGTTGTCTTCCAAGGCAGGGGCTGAGGTCCTGTTCCCTTCCCTTCACGTGTCTTGTGGGAATCCAAGGCACACATCCACTCAGTGGGGTCAGGAGTAATACTTGGGAATGTGCCCATGCTGATGGGTGCCTGTGATAAGAGAAAAATGGGAGTTTCCATTTCAGCTGCAAGGCCCAATGAGAGAGGAAAGAAGCGTTAATCTTTGTGCTAAGGTTTGCATCCCCATTTAAGACCTGCTTTTTTTCTTTTCTTGAGTTGGAGTCTCATTCTGTCACCCAGGCTGGAGTGCAGTGGCACGCTCACGTTAACCTGCTGGGCTCCGGCAATCCTTCTGCCTCAACCTTCCCAGTAGCTGGAGCTACAAGCACGTGCCACCACGCCTGGCTAATTTTTTGATTTATTGTAGAGACAAGGTCTCACCAAGTTGCCCAGGCTGGTCTTGAACCCATGGGCTCAGGCAATCCCCTCACCTTGGCCTCCCAAAGTGCTGGGATTATAGTTGTGAGCCACCACACCCAGCCAAGACCTGCCATTTTTTTCTCCATGAGTCTCTACCGACAGGGCACTGCCATTGTCCGTTTTTGCACATACACATTCCTTTTTTCTTGGGGGCCTTGATTTTTCTCTAGATGAACAGTTAAAATTCCTCCAGGTATTGATTAGGGTGAATGCCTGGAGAAGTGCAGAGATTGGTCCATAAACATTGGTCATTGGGCCCCACCCTCCAGATAGGCCCCTTGGCAAGCTGGCATGATAAGACCCAGGGCACTGGGTGGTGCTGTGTGCATCCTTCATGGCACGGGGGCATGTTCAGCTGATGCTGGCAGTCTGCAGCCACCCCACACTGCTCTACCTTGAGCTGAGAACCATATGCCATGCCCTGGTAGGTCTGGGGAATGCAAACCTACAGCTGATCCACCTCACACCCATCCTAGCTAAATTCCCAGCAGGGCTCAGAGAGAGCAGAATCCTGAGTCAGTCAGCAGAGCTATGTGAGGTGGCCTGGATAAGATTCTGGGACCCTGGGGTCACTGATCAAACCTTCAGGGAAGGAGTGTCTGCAGCAGGGACACTGAGGTTGAAGGAACGCCACCGCTAAGGCTTAGGGGTCTTCAGGCAATGCCCACACTAAGACCCACTGTGGGTCCCTGTTTGAAGCCAATGTCCAGTTTCTGTGGCAGCTACACCACCAGGACTGCTCAGCTCATGAGGATTTCTATCTTGCCCTAGAGTTTGTAAAGACTTTGTTTTCAGTTCCAGAAAGTTTCTTTCTTTCCTTCCTTCCTTCCTTCTTTCTTTCTTTTTTTTTTTTTTGTCAGAGTCTCACTCTGTTGCCCAGGCTGGAGTACAGTAGCACACTCACAGCCACCCCAGCGCTGACCTGCTGGGCTCTGGCGATCCCTCCACCTCCACTTTCCAAGTAGCCGGAACTACAGGCACACGCACTACCACGTCAAGCTAATTTTTGTTGTTGTTGTTTATTGTAGAGACAAGGTCAAGTTGCCCAGGCTGGTCTTGAACCTGTGGGCTTAGGCAATCCACGCGCTTCGGCCCCCTAAAGTGGATTACAGACCAAGCCACAGAGCCCAGTCAAGTTGATTGTTTCTACAGTAGAAACTCTCTTGGGTGACTCCTTAAAGCCCCTGGGCTTTGGGATGGGTGTGGATGGGCACGAGTCCGCTGCAGTTTTTTTTTTTTTTTTTTTGTTGTTGTTCTGAGTTGGAGCTGCCAAGGTGGGTGTGGAGAGAGGGGCCATCCCCAGCCTTGTCAGGTGAGGAACCGCCCACTGCGAGGTAGTGAGGATGAAGCTAAAGCCATGTGGGGGGCAGGGCTGGAAGCCATGGCCAACACCAGAGTTTTGCTTTCCTCCCCTCCAGATTTCGAATCCTTTCAAGGAAATGTGCAGCTTTGCCTCTCCTGAATATGCTGCATATTTAGCCAGTGCCTGATCACATAGTACTTTATATCAGTTCTGTCTAGTATTGATGCTTGACAGTCAGGCTTGAGCTCTGCCTCTTCCTTAGTCCTTGTATGGGCTCCTCTGCCCTCCACACATTTTGTTCCATGCAGTTACAGGCAGTGAGAGGTGACTGTTTGACCCTAACAGTCCTAGGAACCCAGACTGTGGACTGCCAGTAGTCACGGTGCGTTCCTCTCTTATGACTGATACAGGATTTAATCTGTGGTTTTAAAAGAAACTTTAAAAGTTGGCAGAGTACAGTGGCTCATGCCTGTAATCCTAGTGCTCTGGGAAGTCAAGGCAGGAGGATCCTTTGAGGCCAGGAGTTTGAGGGCAGCCTGAGCAACATACCAAGACCTCCATCATAGTACTCCTTCCTTTTTAGATTGTTCTATTTCCCCAGGAAGTCACAGTTCCCATTATTTTTGTTTTGCCTCCATTTTTAAAAAAGGGATTGAGGTCTTGCTATGTTACCCAGGCTGTCCTTGAACTCCGAGGCTCAAGAGATCCTGCCACCTTAGCCTACTGAGTAACTAGGACGATAAGTACACACTGTGCCTGGCTTGATATCTTAAAACATATTTTTCCATCAGCTTATCTCCTTTGTGATCAGTGTTACCACTGAAAACACTGATCAGGCAAAGTGTGGAGGCTCATGCCTGTAATCCCAGCACTTTGGGAGGCCAAAGTGGGAGGATTGTTTGAGCCCAGGAGTTCAGGACCAGACTAGACAACGTAGCTAGACCATCTATACAAAAAAACTAAAAGATTAGCCAGGCGTGGTGGTGTACACCTGCAGTCCCAGCTACCCAGGAGACTGAGGTGGAAGGATTGTCTGAATCCAGGAAGTCAAGGCTGCATTCAACTGGTGGCATTTGATTACCTTTGCTTCTGCTACTGGCTGTTTGAGAAACATAACTTCTCAACTCCAAACCTGGGTATCAGATCTTTCCCAAAAGCATACGTCCAGAAATTATTAATAAACTTACTTATTTATTATTTTTTTGAGTTGGAGTCTCACTCTGTCGCCCAGGCTGGAGTGCAGTGGCATGCTCACAGACACTGCAGCCTTGACTGCTGGGCTCAGGTGACACTTCTGCCTTGCATTCCAAGTAGCTGGAACCACAGGTGCACGTCATCACGCTTGGTTAATTTTTTGATTTACTGTAGAGACGAGGTCTTGCCAAATTGCCCAGGCTGATCTCAAACCCCTGGACTCAAGGCAGTCCTCTCCTCTTGCCTCTGCTTCCGAAAGTGCTGGTATTACAGGCATGAGCCACCTCGCCTGGCTATTTCTCTTTAAAAATAGAAAAAAAATCTTAGGGGCTTACAGATAGATTCAGTGATCTTTGAAATAATTTTACTTGTCATCAAGATTAGTTCTCCATCAAAATGGTGGCATATGCAACATACATAATTGACTTTAGGGCTTAGGAACAAGATGTGGCAACATCTGGAAAGAGAAGGACAACAAACAGGAGAGAGTACAAACTGTAGCAATGGGAACTCCCAAGGAGCTGGTCCTGGAAGTAATCAGCATGAAGCTGCCACAGACCCTGCCAGAGTCAGCTGAACACAGAAAACAAGTCAGGGCATTGCAACACATCAAAGGAACAAGAATTCCCCTCAGCCTAAAAGCCCTAAGGATCTAGGTAAACGCAGAACGGCCAGGAAGAAGCTTCTTAAGGATTCCCTACATGGTACTTAGGCCTTTTGGGGCCACATTCCCTTTGAGAACAGTAAACCCATGGCTCCCTTTCCCAGAAAAATGCAAATACCCATTATTTTGTAGATAACTTCAGAAGGCTGACAGCACCAGTGAGTCATCACAGGCCCTCACAGGTGTGAGGATCTCTGTGTAAGACCCTTTGTCCCACGGTGTTGGGTTTGGGTCTGCCTTACTAGGCCCTCTGAAGATGGTAGTCCTCACTAGGAATAGTAATATAGCTCTGCTTTAGACTTCATTTTCATCATACAAGGGGACAAAAAAAACCCCTGAATTATTTATAAAAAATTCTGTATTTATTCTTACATGTTTAAACTTCAGTCACCTTCAAAGTACTCTCCATTTGATGCAATATACCTATCAAGATGCTTTTTCCACGGCTCAAGACAGTTTTTGAACTCATTAATTTTGATGCCTTTTAGTGCTTCTGACTTTTTTGTTTTACCTCGTCCACATTGGCAAAACATTTCCCTTTGAGGACTTTTTTCATTGGAGAAACAAAAAAAAAAAGTTGCTCGGGGAATAAGGAGGGTGGGGCATGAGGGTCATGCCTTTTTTGGTCCAAAACTGCTGAATGCTCTGCATGGTGTGGGCAGGTGCACTCATAAATCACTCATCATGAAATGGGCAAAAATGTTGGGAAAAATCTCCAAAAAATTCACTGAAGCTGAACACAGCCTTTCACAACAATGCCAGTTGGTACACTGACCCCACCCTCCAAAAATAATCCTGGTTTTTTGGGGGTGCTGCCTTATATACAACACTGGCACGTTTCCTGAGGAAAGACTTCTTATATTCAAAATGAGATAAATGACCAGGCAATTAAACTGGGAGATGCAATAATCCTGTTGTGATAGCTTCATGAAATTTGGATTACATCAATGACTGTTTACCATCAGTGACTTTAGAGCTCTAAAATTATAGTCAGCATAAGACTCTGCATTTTTTTTCTCTTCTAGGAAGCTAAGGAGTTATGACAGTAAACACATGAGGAGTTACAAAGAGTGGCTGACAAGGGCTTGTTCAATGGAAGGAGGGGAGCACAGGTCACAGGTGGGAGCCAAAGCAGCAGCATCTTCACCCCATTAAGACTTCCCTGCAGATGAGCAGCAGAAAGGAGTCTGTCTTGGGGGGCACAGGGGTATGGCAGTCCTGCCCTGGGGCTCCCCACCAGGGCTCTGGTGAGACTGCTTTGGGATGGCTTTTCACAGAAGCTACATATAGCTGTGGTCAGCCTGCTTTCGGCAAATGTGCCCACAGCCTTTCTGCCATGTTTTCATAAAGCCTACAGATGAGCATAAACAACATTTTGTTTCACCTAATACCAATAAAAATGAATTCTCCTTGTTTTCAAATCTCTCCCTTTATTACCATTATTAACCTTTACTTGGAAAGCAAGCAGTAAAAAACCAGCAACATTAAAATTATTACTTCCGGGCAAATGAGGATGGGGGACTTCTTCACTCTCAAGTTAAAGTAGGCACTGAAAGAGATAGACTCCAGTTCCCAGAGAGGCTGACACAAGCACTGAAAGCAGCATTAATGTAAAAGTATTAAGAGAATCATACAGTGGTTTTATTCTTCTTGCTACTTAAAAAAGGTGATGTGATGACAGTGATGGTCAACATCACACAGGGAAGACCAAGTCCACACTCTGTCCAGAATCAACTGCTACCACATGAGTCTTTGTTAAGTTATTTGAGCCCACAGTGACAGAATAGGTCCCTGGATATACTTCTATGTAGAGGTCCTTAAAGATGGTCTCGGGCTGGAAGGAAAAGAGGATGTTAGCTGTTTAGAGATTTTATATCCCAGTGACATCCTGGCATCTCCACCAGGCCACCTCTGTGTGCCAAAGGTGTGATGGGATGAAGCACCAATGTGGGAGACAGAGACCCTGCTCTTAAGGCTCAGCTTGGTCACAATATAGCACTGTCGTTTTGGTAACTCTCAGCCTTTCCTCATTTCTAAAACTGTGATAATACATACCTTGCAAATAAGCATGTAAAAACACTTTGTAAATGTTGAAGTGTCACAGGAACATGAAGGATTATAAAAATAACACTCTAGTTTGAATAAGAATTTGTCAGAGGGAGAGGTAGCCATTGTTTTGGGGCCCCAAAATAGACAATGGCACTTGTAAGCACGGATTAGCAGTAATGGCAAGGGCCCTTGGAATAACGAGAACCATTCTTTTAAACTGTGATTAGCTAAATTCATTATCAGGAAGATGAAGCGTTTTTCTCCTGAAGTCAAGAATGATGAGTGTATTCCATTTTGTTACTGAAGCAGCAAGTCAGCTCGGAGGCCCTCCCTCAGAGGCCTGGGTCACCTATAGTGCAAAACCCTGGAAGCTGAAATCAATGGAAAGATTTTTATTTAGTGCTGAACTGAGCACAAACCATCCTCCGAGGGTACAGTTCACTCATGGCCAGGAAGTGGGTCACGGCAGGTGTGTAGGCAGAGGCAGGGTCTCAGTTCAAATGGCTAAAGGGAAAAGTCACAAGCCAGAAAAGAGTCTGTAATTAAGAACCAAAGTGACAGCTGGGAAGACATGCCATGCTTATTCTACGCTTGGAAGGAGCCACAGGCAGAAGCTGTCATTTCCACCACCACACACAGGGGAAACCAAACTACTGGCCAGCAAATTCCACTAGGAGGAATAAATGATAATATTTACACTTTTATGAAACTACCCCCTGCCTTGCAGATGGATTTGAAGCCAGTTTTTTCCAAAGTTGCTTTACGTTATATCTTTCATGCCTGTCCAGTTACGTAGAATTGGAGGTCAAATTATCATTTAACTGATGTGAATGTATACAATGTCACAACTATTTATCGGTTATCAACTGTGTAAGTAAACAAAAATAGTTTTTAGAAAATATGGTTGTATCCGAATTGCAGAAAGTCAAAGACGCTTCATTTGTCTGCATACAAGAAAACCCTGAGGTAAGGTTGACACCTGTGGCCTCAACACTGAAACACCAGCCTTACCAAAAAGCAGCAAGTGTGGAGGGATCTAAGTCTTTACAACTTACATTTGTATTACAAGCAGATTATTCTTAGTTGCTAGTAAGTCGAGTATATTCAAAATACTGATTAGTAGCAAACTGTATACAAACAAAGAAATTTATTGCAGCAACATGCTAAAGTTCCTTTCCTCAGAATTCTAGCTGTTCCAAGTTCTAAAAAGATTTCCTGGCTTCATGAACTACTGAATACTTTATCCTAAAAATGAAACACTCATTATTATGTTTTTATGGAGACACATTTGCCTTTTACAGAGGAATAAATGCCTTCAAGTGTTTTGGAAGCTGATCTCACCAACTGTATATGTTTCTGAATTTCAGCAACGGTTTTCACTTTGTAAGCAGAAGGATCAGGCCCCTCCTGCTGCTTGAACAGATGGTGGAATTCCAGCAGGACCCAGTGCCAGCCCAGCTGAGCTGTAGGAACTGAGATGTGAATACTTCACATTCTTTCCAACCACAACTATGAGTTCAGGCACAACAAGGATCCCTGAAGCTTCAAGTGAAGGAAGGATACCAAGAAAACATAATTTTTTTTACAGTGAACCAAAATCGTATGCACCCTCCTTAAGTGTGAGAACATCCAAACTTAAAAATACTTCAGATCCAGCACAAATAGCCCTAAGTATCCAGGTCAACTGGTTCATGGAGCTGCTATGGTGGTGAAGGTCAGATACCAGCAGTCTGTACTCACAAGTTGGGAGGTCTCTGGGGCAGGCTCTGACATCTGAGGGACGTCTTCAGTACAAAGGGATGTCTTTTCTCTGTCTTTTCTCTGAAGAGACAAGTAGAAACACTGATTTGTGCCCAAGCTTTGACTTCTAGATTGTAAAGAGAATTTTTATTCTATCATATTAGGAACTAATAATTGTTCTGTCAGCTTTTTCTAAATTGTCACCTAAGTTACTAAAGCTCTTTTCAAGTAAATTCTGTGAGGCATTTTTAGTCAGACGTTTACCATGATTACTTTTTATCCTTACATGGAGGATAGTTTGGAGTCAGATGCACCTGACTTTAAGTCTTCTCTCTACTATTTACTAAGAGTTGGAGAGACTAAATTCTCCAAGCCTTGGTTTCTTAGTCTGTAACACAGGACAAGGCTCCTGGATTACAGGGAAGATTTAAAGTGCAAAAGTGACTGACACTAGGCTTTCAGAAAATATAATTCTCTCCTGTGCTTCTATAGGAGGGGGGTACAGGAGGGGTACAGGCTGACTGATAAGCCAATTTCTCTTAGAAGAAACTTACCTTTAATAGGGAGAGAAAGGAATGACTCTTCCCTACACATAACCCCTTAGTGTTAGACACACTTAGGGCAAGAGAGCTCAAGCTAAGTCAGAAAAGGGGGCTCAGGACTCAGGCTCCGGCACCACTCCTTACATCCCAGGCTGGGGAAGGCATGCCAGAGGGGCATCCAGGTGTGACCAGCCCTTGCTTATATCTCTGTGCCCACTCTCCAACTCTTTCCTAAATTCCTTCCCTCTAACACCCCAAGATGCGCCACAGGCCAGAGAAGTCAGGAATCCAATTTGAGGATTAGACTCTGGGCTTAAGTTTACTCCCTTTGAGTACAACTAGGATAGTTTTTAAACACCAAAAAAAACCCCAAACCAAAACAAAACCTACTTTCCTCAAAACCACCACCACCGCCTCCTAAATTCATTTGGCTTCCCCAGAATAACAGGTGGTAAAAAGACAGGTAAGTTTGTAGAAAAGTATTTTGTTGAGAGACCCTTCCCACTTACACTTCCTTTTTATTTATTTTTATTTTTTATTTTGTGGGTCAGAGTTTCACTCTGGTGCACAGGTTGGAGTGCAGTGGCACGCTCATGGCCACTGCAGCCTCAACTTGCTGGGCTCAGGTGATCCTTCTGCCTCGGCCTTCTAAGCAGCTGGAACCACAGGCATGTGCCACCACACCTGGTTAATTTTTTTTTTATTTATTATAGAGATGAGGTCTCGCCATGTTGCCCAGGCTGGTCTCAAACCTGTGAGCTCATGCAATCCTCTTGCCTCCACCTCTCAAAGTGCCGGGATTACAGGCATGAGCCACTGCACCTGGCTTGTACTTCCTTTTAAAAAATTACCAAAGACATGATAGTTATCATTTAACCTTATAGTAGAAAATATAATTATTAAAAATCTTTTTCTATCCCTACATGTAGAAGAGAATATTTAAAGCTCTTTCTTTTATTTTCCCTCCCTTTCCTCCTCCCTCCGTCTGCCCACCTCCTCTCTTTCTCTCTTTCCTTCTCTCTTTATTTTATTATTTTTATTTTTGAGTCAGAGTCTCAATGTCACCCAGGTTGGAGTGCAGTGGCATGCTCACAGCTACCACAGCATCGACCTGCTAGGCTCAGGCGATCCTTCTGCCTCAACCTTCCAGGTAGCTGAAACTATAGAAACAGACCACCATGCCTTGCTAATTTTTTTTATTTACTGTAGAACAAGGTCTCACCAAGTTGCCCAGGCTGGTCTCAACCCAGTGGGCTCAAGCAATCCTCTCACCTCTGCCTCCCAAGTACTAGAATTACAGGCATAAGCCACCATGTCCAGCTTCTTTCTTTCTTTAAATAGAGACAAGGTCTTGCTATGTTGACCAGGCTGGAGTACAGTAGCTGATCATAGATGCCATCATGGCTCACTGCAGTCCTGAACTCCTGGCCTCAAGTGATTCTCCCACGTCAGCCTCCCGAGGAGCTAGGGTTATAGGCATGTACCGCCATGCCCAGCTTAGAAGTTCTTTTCTTTAAGCCTTGAGATTCGTTTTCCCCCCCAAGAATCCCATGGCCCAGGATTGCAGATTTATCTAAAGATCATACAGTGGCGTCAATCTTACATTTTGGACAAACTCCTATTTCATGTTCATTGCTGTAAATTCTCTAAGGCTGCTATTTTGCATATTTCTGTCGGGCACTGGAAAGCCAAGTCACACAGGCATCCAATGATACTAAGTCTAGCAGGGGCTCCCAACTACAGGGTATCACATATTAGTAGGCCAAGGGCACAACAAGGACAGCTGAAGATACATACCTGACCATTCCCCATGCCTGTGCATATGTGCAGCTTCGACTTCCCTCTGTGATAACGATAGACGTGGGCTGCCCCTCCTGCCTCTGGCACAGAAGAATAATATCTCTAGAGAAGAAATGTGAAAGATGTAGGGTAACATAGTTTTTTCAGTTTTCATAAAATCCTCTGGTACTTGGGCAAAGTATGGTTAAGGAGGGAGGCAAGAGAACAAAGGTAAATTACCTCCCTCTTGTCAGGCTTCTGAAGTCATATAACACAAGCCTCAGCCCGTTTAAAGTGGCTGCAGACACATTTGGCATAACTCTGCTGCCATCTGCTGCTTCTGAAGGGCAAGAACTCTGGCCAACTAAGGGTGGGCAGAACCATGCCTTCTGCCAGGTTAAACAATTTTCACATCTCTGCCACAATGTCAAATATCCTTTTATTTCCTCCCCTGACAAACTTGGATGAATAGTTCCATGTTTATTGTCTAAGTATCAGACAAGGACAGGGGAGGAGAAGGATGCATTTCCTTAAGATTTAGAAATACAGCAGGAAATGAAACATAAACCCAAGAGCTATGCAGCCCTACTCCCCATGTTTCCCATGTGGGGAGGGGAGAGAGAGGTCTCTAATTTAAGAGGAATAATCCAGAGGATCAGAAAAGTTACATCTTCCTTCCCTTGAAATTGAACTTTAGACTTGCCCTTGATTATGACTAATGATGAAGGCATCACAAGCCTGCTTGTTTTGAACATAGTGTAGGGACAGTCTCTAAAAAACATGTGACCAGAAGAATGAGAAGCTGAGGAAATACTTCAGGACACAGACCTAATGATATATTTTAGGGGCTACTTCAAATTGTGGAGGCAAACCCAGAACGCTATTTTTAATTCTGTCTCTAGAAAGGCAGGGGGTCTCAGGCTCCATTCCTTAATGGAGACTTGAACTGAAGCATGAACTGAAAACCAAAATGAAGAACAGCAATTTGCTAAACCTCAAACCAAAGACAAATATTATTCCTTTTACTGAACCATGAACCAAGTGTTTGAGTTAATCATTTTACAGTAGAACTGAAGTTATTGATTTTTCTAAAACGACTTAGTACAAATAAGAACATAAACATATTCTCTGAACCCATATTTTACTGGTTGGAATCCTATTCTTGAAGTCATAGAAATTTTTATAAAAGATGTAGAAAGATAAGAGTTTTTTTGAAATCTTAAAATACGAAATTGAAAAACAGGACAGAAACAAGGTATTCTCTTCTTTCTCCTTTATAGACCAGCATCCTTACAACCATATAAGACTCACAAAATGTTAAGGCAGGAAGAGGCCAGAGTCCCTAGTAATTCCTAGAACACAGAGAGCCCCTTCCATGTAGGTAATTTCCTTGAATGTTGGTTGGCCTGCCTTCAACATTCCCTAAGTACTGAAAGATGACCTAAGTGTGAGTTTAAGAAGACTTAAAAACCTTTATTCACCCATTTCAATGAATGGTACTAAAAACAAAAAACAAAAAAAACCTCACTTAAATCCCTCATGCTGATAATGTACTGGTGTTCTTTCAGTGGAAGTCAAAGAAACAGACTGTAAAGGCTGGAAAGAACTTCAGAAATCGTTTTTTTTTTTTTAAAGAGATGGGGTCTCATTCTGTTACCAAGACTGGAGTGCAGTGGAGTGATAATAGCTCACTGCAGCCTTGAACCCCTGGGCTCAAGCAATCCTTGCACCTCAGCCTCCTGAGTAGCTGGGACTACAGGCAGGTGCCACCATACCCAGCTAATTTTTAAAAATATTTTTAGAGATGATGTTTTACTATGTTGACCAGGCTGGTCTCGAACTTCTGGCCTCAAGTTAACCTCCCACCTTGGTCTCTGAAAGTGTTGGGATTACTGATGTGAGCCACTGTACCAGGTTAGAAATCTTAATTTAATGATGGGAAAGCTAAAATGCATCATTAGCCTTGTGTTCTGAAGTCCGTTCCCCAGCTTCTCATTCTTCTGGTGACATGCCTTGGGTAAGACTGAGAGACTCAATGGCCTAAGGCATTATAGCCAGTAAGTGGCTGAACATGGGTGTGATTCCTGGAAAGCTACTCCTGCCACTAACCCACATTACCCCTACCAGGGAGCTGCATTTGTTCCACAGAACCATCTTTGTTGCCAAGCACTAATATGGACCTACTGGGACATACTTAAAAACTACCTTACCAGGGACTTACACAAACATTAGAAGTCAAGAACTAATGTAGAGATTTTGTTTCAGTACATCTTGAAATCAGAGAGGCTCAGTTTGTTTAGAGTGATCCTAAAGATTTGGGGTTTTTTGGTTTGTTTTTTTGAGTTGGAGTCTTACTCTGTTACCCAGGCTGGAATACAATGATGGCACGCTCACGGCCACTGCAGTCTCAAACTGCTGGACTCAGGCGATCCTTCCACTTCAGCCTTCCAAGTAGCTAGAACAACAGGTGCACACCACCATGTCTGGTTAATTTCTTTTTATTTATTGTAGAGATGAGGTCTTGCCAAGTTGCCCAGGCTGATCTCGAACCTCTCAGCTCAGGCAATCCTTTCACCTTGGCCTCTCAAGGTGCTGCGAAGACAGGCATCAGCTACCGTGCCTGGTTAAGATTTGTTTTTAATTTTAGTTTAGTTCAAAGTTAAAAAAATAAAAAAATATTTCTTGAAGGCAAGAAATATCTTCTGGTTTATTCACTGCTGTATCCCCAAAAACAATTACAGAGTTAGGCATTCAGTAAATGTTTGTTGGGTGAATTCTAACTTGGATTTACCACCTGTTTTAAGTCCTTTACTGATTATAATCTGCCCATGAAGTCTGGGCAGGGAAAACAGGTAGTCTCCAGATTCTCCCTAAATTCCAGAAAGATCCACATTGTCACACATCAGCGGGTGATAGGGGCACAGCTTTAGTTCACACAAACTTACCCCACACTGACTTGAGGCATAGTCCATGAATTCAGCCATTGTTCTGAAGGAAGCGCTAAGGGTTGGGTGTCTCTCTTCTCTCTATTTGAATAAATGGCAAGTCACAGGTGAGAAATCTAGGATTCCCTACTGGAGAATGGAGGGATTTTGGAACACAGAATCCGTGTCTACCTTTGGAAAGGCAAGTTTAAGTCAGAAAGGGGGATGCTACTGGGAAGAATTCCAACTCTGCATTTATATAACAGGCATACAATTTATCCAGGACCTAAAAGATGGGTTTGCTGGCTTTCCTCTAGTATCAGATGGTAACATGTAAGATTTTTTGTTGTTGTTGTTGGAGTCTCACTCTGATGCCCAGGCTGGAGTGCAGCGGCACGCTCACGGCCACTGCAGCCTCGACCTGCTGGGCTCCGGCGATCCTTCCGCCTCAGTCTTCCAAGTAGCTGGAGCTACTGGCACGCGCCACCATGCCCGGCAAATTTTTGATTTATGGTATAAGTGAGGTCTCGCCAAGTTGCCCAGGCTGGTCTCGTACTCGTGGGCTCAGGCGAGCCTCTCACCTCGGCCTCCTAAAGTGCTGGGATTATGGGCGGGAGCCACTACTTTTTTTTAAAAAAAGTAACCGACCAGGGCCGAACACTACAGCTACCCAACGAGAATCTGTCAGGGGTAAAGCGCTTTCAAAGTCCCTTTCCATTCACTGTCTTGATCCTTTCCGGCTCCCGCCAGGGGCAGGATCCCCAAGCACTTCTGCGTGGCGCGCCCCTGGGTCTCAACAGGCCCCGCGGAGCGCACGCCGGGGCCGGTCCCTCAGCCCCGGGCCTCACCTCTCCCGGAAGGAGGCGCTGGGGGCCGGCGGCCGGCCGTCTTTCTTGGCAGGGCACCTCCCGGGAAAGGACCCCCAGGCTGCCTCTGGGACGCTCCAGCGAGTGCCAGTCCACCGCCCTCCTCCTGGCGCGCTCCAGCACTTCCCGCCCCAGCCTAGCCGAGCGCTGCAGGGAACGCCGGTCCACCCCGTTCAGCGCCGCGGCCGCCAAACAGGTCTCCATGTCTCCCTGGGCGGGCACACACAAACGAGCGCCGGCGAGTCAGCGGGGCCGCGGGTGGGAGCCCCGGCCTCGACCTCCCCGGAGACCACCGCTCCCAGACTACCCCCAACGCGCACTTCGGCGGGCGCCGGGCGAGGCCTAGCCCGCCCGACCCTTCCATCTCTTCCTCCCCCCGCCCTCAGTGGGGAACCCCTCACCCGGCCCGCTTCTCAAGACGCATGCGCCCAGCGCACTCCCAACGGGGGCGGGGGGGGGGCCTGGAGCCCCGGGCGCCGGCGCACGGGCTCTTAGAGGAGGGCGGGGAGAGGCGGGGCCGCGGGGCCCGCGCCTGTGCAGGACACGCCCTCTGTGTTCGGTGCGCAGTCGCCGCGCTGGTTGTCTGGCCGGGTGCTGAGTGCGGAGGGTTTGGGGGACCGGGCGCTGGGGGCCGGGGTCGGACGCGCCACCAAGGGCACATGTCTGCGCTGTCCGAGGAGCCCCGGGGCAGAGACCTGGCCTTAGAGGTCTTCTATGCCGCCTGAGTTTGATGAACCTGGTGTAAAATCAGCTGGTCTACCGTTGGGCTAAAAGATTATGGGGCGTGCCGGGCTCGGTGGCTCAGCCTGTAATCCCGCGCCTTTGGGAGGCTGAGGTGAGTGGATTACCTGAGCCCGCGGGTTCAAGACCCGCCTGGGCAGCAAGACCTCATCTCTACAATAAATCAAAAAATCAGCCGGGCGTGGTAGCGCGCGCCTGTGGTTCCAGCTACTTGGAAGGCTTTGGCGGAAGGATCGCCGGAGCCCAGCAGGTCGAGGCTGCGGTGGCCGGGAGCGGCCACTGCACTCCAGTCTGGGCGACAGAGTGACTCAAAAAAAAAAAAAAAAGTAAGGATCTGTGAATTGTTACCTTTCACTCCACTGGGCTGGTTATTTGGTAGGAGAGATAGCCCAAGCTTTCAAGGCTACTTAGTGACCAGCTACACCTCCCAGCAAAACGTTGATGCTTAGGAAGACCCATTTAAGGGACGTTGCTCAGTGGGAGTCCCTTTAAGGGACATAAGGTCATCTTCAAATCTCAGCCATGTCAACGGATAACTTGATTAGCAGTTGTGAACTACCAGGTTGATGTTAAAATACTATTACAACTTCCATCTGTACTTTTTTTTTTGAGTTGGAGTCTCACTCTGTCGCCTAGGTGGCCGTGAGTGCAGTGGCACACTCACGGCCACCCAGCTATGAACTACTGGGCTCTGGCGATCCTTTTGCCTCAGCCTTCCAAGTAGCCGAAACCACAGGCGCATGCTACCATGCCCGGCTAATTTTTGATTTATTGTAGAGTCGAGGTCTCGCCAAGTTGCCCGGGTTGGTCTAGAACCCACGAGCTCAGGCCATCCACTTGCCTGGGCCTCCCAAAGTGCTAGGATCACAGGCTAAGCCCCGATCCTGGCCCCCCCTTTTTTTTTTCTTAATAAAGAGATGGGTCTCACTCTAGCTCAGACTGCAGTGCAGCGGTGTATCCCTAATTCACTGTAGCCTCAACCTCCTGGGCTCAAGCAATCCTCCTGCTCAGCCTTCAAGTAGTTAGAACTACAGGTGTACGCCACCATGCCCAGCTAAGTTTTTGATTTTTTTTTTTCTGTTTGGTAGAGATGAGGTGTCACTATGTTACCCAGGCTGGTCTTGAACTCCTGTCCTCAAGCAATTCTCCTGTCTCAGCCTCCCAATGTGCTGGAATTATAGGCATGAGTCACTGCACCCAGCCTCCATTTATACTTTAACTTTTGCTAATTTCCTGCTTTCCATTCATAAAAAGAATAACAATGAGTGAAGCTCCTCATTATCCTTGAGATGATTCTTTGTTTTAGAAATATTCCAACACTTTTTCTTCCATAAACATAAAATGTCTCCTTTAGAACATAGTAGTTACATGCATGGGGTCTTGGGTATCCGCTCCAGAGAGTTGCTTTGAATTCTGGCTCTGCCACTTTTTTGCTGTGTGATTCTGGACAAGCAAATCACTTCTTTGAGCTTCAGTTTTCTTCATCTCTATTCCTGGAAATAAATTATTCCAACCTCCCTAGACTGTGAGCTTCTTGAGGGCAGGGACCATAGCCGTCTTGTTTACTGGGTTTAAGGTGCATCTAATATTTTCTCTGTTAGAGTAAGGGTTAACAATAGCTATTGAATATGTGCACTGGGTTGCTTTAAGACTTTGTGCGATAACTCCTGCAAAAAGCTTAGCACAATGCCTTGCAAAGAATGAGTGCTCCATAGATCTAGTTAGCATTATTATGTGCCAGGAACTGTCCTAGGAGCTGTGGAGAATAGAAAGTGGATCAGACTACAGGAGAATAAGAAAGTGGAAATGATGCATATAAAATCTGTAATGCCAGGAACAAAATATTCTGACATGCCATAAGACTGATACAGATAAAATGCTCTAAACCTTAGAAGAGATTATGTTCAGCTGGGAAGATCAAGAAAGGCTTTGCAGAGAAGGTAGTATTCAAGCTAGGCCTTGAAGGATGACCTAGGAATTAGTGAAAGGAGAGGTGGATAAGATACCTGTTAACTACTTTTACAAAGAGTATGGTTAGGGTGAACAGAATTTGGTGCTCTTTATTATTTATGAATGTCAAGACCCCGGCTCCATAACTTTTAGCTGTGTCTGTGTAACCTAGAGAAGGCTGCTTCACTGTTCTATACCTCAATTTTGCCATTTGTGAAATGAGAATAATAATAATAGTACATTCCTCGTAGGGTTGTTGTGAGGATCAAGTAAGTTGATACATGTAAAGTGCTTTAATAGTACTTGGCACATAGTAAGTGCTCAATAAATATTAGCTAGTATGATCTTAAACTTCAGCCTGGTCTCCCAGTATGTCCTCACTCACCCAATACTACAGCCACACTTCACCTCCTTGGTTCTCTTTCCCTTCTATTCCAGTCATTATGTTACTATTCCCTTCTATTCCAGTCATTCTAATGGAAGCATTACTTTCTTTTTGCCAGGTCAACCCTTTGAAACCTTTACCAGCTGTGTCCACTTCCCAGAGGTGGAAATACCTCTGTTGCCGTAGCCTTTGTTTTTTCTTCTTCTTTTTCTTTTTTTTCAGTATTGCGGTATTTATCTAATTTAAATTATGTTATGGTTTATTCTCTCCCAACAGCCTATTAACTCCTTGAAGGCAGAAACTGTTCTTTATTTGTCCCTGAACATTCCAGGGCCCGTTAAGTAGTGTGTTCAGTAGACATTTGCTGAAATTATTTTGATTTAACTTTTAATTTAAATAGACGTCTGTTAGCCCAGATAGCAGTTGACTTTTGGGGGGAAAACATCTACCTACATGCACTTTAATGAATATTCAGTTGTAACTACATTTTGCTAGGATTAATATTTAGAACTATATGGGAAAGAAGATGCTTGAAATGAGACTGAAGACTGACACTAAGTTAAATCTTTCCTTTTTTTCTATTTGTGAATATGCTTGTATGTGTGTGTGTGTGTGTGTGTGTGTGTGTGTGTGTATTTATAATTTTAAGGTTTATCCTATAAACCACAGATTGAGAGAACCCTTTTTCTCTTTTTCGAGATTGGTTGGGAATAAAGATGGAACATGACCATCTAGGCCCTTGTGGATCAAATATAGTCCATGCCAGTTGCTTCTGAAAGGTGCTAGTGAGACTTGAAAATAGAATAATAAGTCCTGTTTCAATCTCCTGTGTGTGGTTAGCCAGTTTTTCCAGCACCACTTACTGAATAGGTTCTCCTTTCCCCAGTGGTTGTTGTTGAAAGCTTTGTCGAAGATGGGTTGGTTGAGAAATTGAGGTTTTGCTTCCAGAATCTCTATCCTGTTCCATTGGTTTATATGTGTGTTCTTGTACCAATACCAGGCTGTTTTGATTATTGTAGCTTTATAGTAGAGCTCGAAGTCTGGAAGCGTGATATCACCCTTAGTTTATTTTGCTAAGGATTGTTTTGGCTATTTGTGGTCTTTTATGTTTCCACATGAATTTCTGTATTGTCATTTCCAGGCCTGAGAAGAATGATGTTGGTAATATAATGGGTATTGCGTTAAATCTGTAGATTGCTTTGGTAGGATGGACATCTTTTTTAAAAAATTTATTTTATTTTAAAGATGTGGAGTACAATTCAGGATTGTGCATACAAGTGAGGAAGGACATCTTAACAATGCTAATTCTTCCATTCCATGAGCATGGAACATTTTCCCATTAGTTTGTGTTACCTATCACTATACACAAAAATCAATTCGAAATGGGTCAAATACCTAAATGTAAAACCTCAACCATAAGAATCCTAGAATATAGGAAATACCCTTTACAGAAATTGGAATAGGCAACCAATTCCTGATCAACTCTCCAAAAGTGAATGCCATAAAAGATTAGATAGACAAGTGGGACATCATCAAACTGCAAAACTTCTGCAAAGCAAGAGAAACCACCAAGAGAGCAGGGAGACAGTCCACAGACTTGGAAAAAATTATTTGCCAACTGGAAATCTGACAAAGCCATAACATCTAGGGTCTACAAGGAAGTCAAATGTGCTGAAAAGAAAAAAACAAACAGCCCTATTAAAAAGTGGGCAAGCCGGGCTTGGTGGCTCAGCCTGTAATCCCGCACTTTGGGAAGCTGAGGTTGAGTGGATTGCCTGAACCTGCGGGTTCGAGACCCACCTGGCCAATTTGGCGAGACCTCATCTCTATAATAAATCAGAAAATCAGCCGGGCATGGTAGCACATGTCTGTAATTCCGGCTACTCCGAAGGTTGAGGTGGAAGGATCGCCGGAGCCCAGAAGGTCGAGGCTGCAGTGCCCAGGAGCGGCCACTGCACTCCAGTCTGGGCGACAGAGTGAGACTCCAACTCAAAAAAAAAAAAAAAAAAAAGTGGACAAAAGATATGAATACACGCTTCTCAGAAGAAGACATACGTGCAGCCAACAGATACATGAAAAAATGTTCAGCCTTACTAATCATCAATGAAATGCAAATTAAAACCATACTGACATACCACCTAACTCCAGTCAGGATGGTCATCATCAGTAGTTCAAAAAACAACAGTTGCTGGAGAAGATGTGAAGAAAAAGGAACGCTTCTACATTGTTGGTGGGAGCGTATACTAATACCACCTCTGTGGAAAACAGTGTGGAAATTTCTGAAAGATCTAAAACTTGACCTTCATATGACACAGCAATCTCCCTTCTGGGAATATACCCAGAAGAACTCAGATCACTCTATGA